TCCTCACTGGTGCATGAAGTCATCAACCCTCTGTTGTCTGGTGCCCCCAGGAAGTTCGACCTGCCCAAACTTATTAAGCGGTACCTGTTAGCAGAGGATGGTGGCATTGAGGTACCGGTGGTGGACGAATGCGTCTGGACCTCTGTTACCCTTTGGGGGGTCTTCGACCCCCAACTTGGCTAAGGTCAAGCAGGGCCAGCGGTTGCCACCCTTTCCCACGTGCGGTACGGAGCTGAAGGCTGCTTACGTTTGCTTCGAGGAGCAATATCGTAACGCATGTCAGCAGCTCCGTGTGTCTGTACACTCCGCATATCTGTCGGCCGTACAGAGGGAGTTAGCGGGAGAGGGGCCGGCCGACTCTTCGGAGTTGGCCGCTTAACTTACGGAGGTCCATAGTCATCTTGCGAGGGACGCTATTCGTAGCTGTGACTCGCAGATGATGTGTGCAGTCATGGGCATGCGCAGGCTGTGGATGTCGGTATCCAAATACTCGGCTTCCACATGCCAGGATCTACTTGCTTTGCCATATAAGATGGGTGCCACCCTCTTCCCTGGGGCTCAGCAGGTGGTCCGAGAGGCCGCACAGTTGTATGCCTCCATCAAGGATTCTAAGGCCTTGTTGGAGGTACCATGTGTTAAACTGCGTAAGCGGACCTCTCCACTTGACTCCTCCTACGCTGACGCGCCGGGGTCAGAAGTCTGCACCTGCTTCCTTCAGGTAAGGGCGCCGGGAGGAGCAAGAGAGGCAGGGGCCGGGGCAAGGCAGCTGGTCGAGGCCAGCAGCCTTTTCGCGGGGCCGGGAACCCATCGGGTTCCCATTAGCGCCCGAAGTGCCCCGGGCGGACCCACGGTCGCATGTTATTGAACTGCCGACAGCCGGGGTCCACTGCCTCAAGCCGGATGTCCCCGTAGGCGGCCGACTGGCTCTATTCCTGCAGGAATGGGAGACAGTCACATCCAATCCCTGGACCCTGTCCACTCTAAGGGATGGCCATTTGCCTCAGTGGAAACATCATCCGCCCCCCTTCTCCTGGATAAAGCACACTCCGGTGCCTGCTACCCGAGAGAAGGCGGAATTCCTCCGTGCCAAGGTCGAACCGGTTCCCGTTGGACAGGAAAGCGAGGGCTTCTACTCGACATATTTCCTAGTCACCAAAAAAGACTGAGGGTTCAGGCCTATTCTCAATCTGAGAAGGCTGAACAAACTGGTACAGTCCTTCAGGATGGAGACACTGCGCTCGCTGATCTCAGATGTCGAGACAGGAGAATGGCTGACGTCAATAGACCTAAAAGACGCCTATCTCCACGTACCCACACACCCCGAGTTCAAGAAATACCTGAGGTTTTCTTTCGACGGGAGGTGTTATCAGTTCAGGGTTCTACCATTCGGGATCTCCACGGCCCCGAGGGTGTTCACCAAGCTGATGTTGATTCCCGCCCAAGTGGCCAGGTCAAAAGGTCGGTTCTGCCATCCGTACCTCGACGACTGGTTACTAAGAGCTCTATCGCAATCTATGAGTCAGATAGCTACACAAGACGTGATAGACATTCTGATCACTCTAGGGTGGATAGTCAATATCAAGAAGTCAGATCTGAGCCCTACTCAGAATCTAGTCTTCCTAGGGGCGAATTTCAACACGGTGAGCGGACTTGTATCTCTGTCACAAGATCGCATTACCAAGGTCAGAAGTGTAACTTCCCAGTTCCTTCTGTCCGCAAGTCACACTGCTCATACATGGCTCCAGTTACTGGGCAACATGGCGGCGACAGTGGATGTGGTTTGGCGGGCGCGCTTGAGAATGAGACCCATTCACGAGCGCTCCGTCGACTGTGGGTGAACTCGGAAGATCTCGAGACTGTTCTCGAGACTCCGCAATGGCTCAATGCACACCTTCAGTGGTGGACCGAGGTCGGGAATCTGTCCCGGGGGCTCCCCCTCGACACTCCCGTTCCGTCTCTCACAGTTCAAACAGACGCGTCACTCTCCGGCTGGGGAGGCGTTCTGAACGATCACACTGCCTCGGGACTATCGTCCCAGCAGGAGATCAAACTGCATATCAATGTGCTAGAACTGAGAGCGGTCAGGTTGTTGTTCCAACGCTTCCTGGATCTGCTTCGTGGCCAAGTGGTGCGTCTAGAGATGGACAACCAAGCGGCGATGACTTACATCCGGAAGCAGGGGGGAACGGCGTCTCCGTCTCTTCTCCAAGAGACGTGGCAGTTCCTCCTATGGCGCGACCCACACGTTATCAGGGTGCTACCTGTTTATCTACCGGGGGTGGACAACGTCCGTGCGGACACTCTGTCTTGCCGGATCCTCGCTCCTCATGAATGGAGGCTCGGCCCGGGGATATTCGGGATTATCTCCCAGTTATACGGGTCGTTCCAGGTGGTTCTGTTTGCGTCTGGGGTGAATCACCAGACACCAACGTTCTGCTCCCGAGTCCCCGACCCGAGGTCAGTGGCACCGGACGCCTTCCAGCTAGATTGGACGGACAGAATTCTGTGGGCATTCCCCCCAGTACCTCTGATTTCCAAGGTCCTGTCTCAGCTAGCCACTCAGCCTGCGCAACTAGTTGTGCTCCTGGCACCCCTTTGGTTGGCGCAGAGTTGGTTTCCAGTAATACTCAGGTTTCTGCCTCCTGTTCTATTACCTTTACGACCGGACCTCCTATCCCAGAACGAGGCCCTCCACCCGAATCCCAGGATTCAGTGGGTGGCTTGGCCACTGTCCGGAATTGCCTCCAGAAGAGCGGTATTCCTGCACGAGTTGCAGACACAATACTGGCTTCGCGGAGGGATTCAACAAACGTTCAGTACGAGGATAGATGGGCCTGCTATGCGCGCTGGTGTGTCGATAGAGGGATTGCAGATCCCTTTTCTGCAGATCTCGTAGCCGTGCCTGAGTTCCTTCAGTCGCGACTAGCAGATAGCAGACGGCTATCGCAGCCTTTCACGTCCCTGTCGACGGAGCACTTCTGGGTGCGCACCCATTAGTGCAGCGCTTTTAAACAGGTGTGGACAGGATCCGACCGCCTGTCCGGCGGATCAGTCCCCCTTGGGACTTGTCAATCATTCTTGATTGGCTGTCCGGTCCTTCCTTTCGGGATCTGTCGTCGCTCTCTCTTCAGCTGTTGAGCTGGAAGACGGCGTTCCTTGTTGCGGTAACGTCCGGCAGACGGGTAAGCGACATTCACGCAATGTCAGCCGATCCCGAACTAACTGTCTTTCACCAGGACAGGGTCAGTATTCGCCTGCTGGACTCTTACCTTCCTAAGGTGGCACACGCCTTCCACGTGATGGCTCCTATTGAGCTACCTGCTCTTTCACAGCCTTCCTCGTCGGGGACCACCAAAGACATGCTAATGTCTGGATGTCCGCAGGACCCTCAAATCCTATATCAGCAGAACTAAGGGTATCCATAAGGATAATCAACTATTTTGCTGTTATGGCGGTAGAAAGGCTGGCTCACCTGCGAGCAAACAAACTATCTCAAGGTGGAAAGTCTCTACTATATGTACTGCGTACACCCTTCAAGGCAGGGACCCCCCTACCAAGTTGAAGGCTCATTCGGTTAGAGCAGTGGCTACGACACAAGCGTACGCCGCGGCTCTGCCCATTGAGGAGATCTGCTCCGCGGCTATTTGGAGCCAGCCGAGCACGTTCATCAAACATTACCAACTCGACAAACACTCAAGCGAGCGTGCTCGGTTTGGTCAGTCAGTTCTCCGAACTGGGCAAAGTTCTGCATCTCTAGCCGATTGAGCCTTGGAGATTTTAGACTGCCCGGACCGGTTTTAACACTGCTCAGTAACGGTCCGGATTATATCTTCTACGGTCGATAACAATACCAGCCATTACTACTCGATAAACATCGTATTTGCATTCCATTCATGGGGACCCTCTGGCCTAGCTCTGCGCGGGTTTATAGTCTCTCGTGATCTGCGCCCCCATATCACTTGTTCAAAAAAGTGGGGGGGTGTCTCGAGTTCTCGATATGATAGGCCACAAAGAATGTCTCTTTTCATTGTGTATGGTCGACCATGCCCTGTCTCCAGCCCCCGCCTTTCGACGTTGGTGCCTCATGATAAGGTTGGTTCCATTTATTGAACTCTTGTTTATTCATTGAAATAATCAAAATACAATGTATTTATGCATGCTTGTTGCTGACAGATGCCACTTCCTAGATTATCTTTAGGCGTCTATCTTGATGCAATAAGTGCCCCAAGGAGGATTTAATCTGAAAGAGAATTTTACAAACCTGTAGAGGTTATGAATTCTCTGATGAAATCCTCCTTGGGGCACAGCCACCCGCCTCCCCACATTCCGTCAGCATTAGACATATGGAAAGTGATTTGGGTGAGAGTTGCTTCCCTTGGCGTGACACGCCGTGGAGGGTGAGGCACCATAAGGGTGGACGTATATCATACAAAAACGAAGTTTTTTGTGTGGTAACATTTTTTATTAAGGAAAATGGTTACAACTATGTCATGTAGATTTTCTTGAGCCAGGAAAATGCAATAAGTGCCCCAAGGAGTATTTCATCAGAGAATTGATAACCTCTACAGGTTTGTAAAAATTTCATATCTGAGCCGAAATATGAGCATCATATCATGTATGCCACAAGGAGGCATGGGTTGCCCAGTCTAAGGTGCCTCAGTTTGCAGTGCAGAGTTGCTTACCTTCGGCATGCTAGCAAACTATGATGGTCGGTTCAATCCCGGTTTGCCCAGGTTATGCCTCTTGGTTTGTGCTCATGGGTTTAACCAAAGTGGTAAACGAGCTGCCTCACTCCGGGCTTTATTCCCACATTTAGCTGACACACCATGATATCACTAGAATACTGTTTACAGCAGTGTTAAACCCAACTCACAATACGAACCTCGTATCTGAGCCTGAAGCAGTTTTAAACAAAGGTTGGTTCTGACAGCTATTTGCTGATATGTCTTATGTGTTAATATGCCGCTATACTATCATAACACATGACTCAATGCTTTCAGCAAGATTGTCTGAGCCTCAGCAACATCAGCCACCAGCTGACTGATGGAATGTCTGAACATACAGCCAAGTGCCCTGACAACCCCAGCTTCCAGGTTATGTCTGGTCTTGGTGCAACTAACCTCCTCATGACGTGTCAGGTAGTCATCTAATCTCATGATGTGTCTGTACAGTTATTGTCATACATTGCCTAACCTCATGATGTATCAGGTACAGTCATTGTAATAAATCATCTAAGTTCATGACATGTCAGGTAATCAGAATCCATCATCTAACCTCATGACATGTCAGGTAGTCATCATACATCATCTAAGCTCATGACATATATGGTAGCCATTATACATCATCTAACCTCATGATATGTCAGGTAGTTATTATACATCATCTAACCTCATGACATATCAGGTAGCCATTATACATCATCTAACCTCATGATATGTCAGGTAGTTATTATACATCATCTAACCTCATGATATGTCAGGTAGCCATTATACATCATCTAACCTCATGATATGTCAGGTAGTTATTATACATCATCTAACCTCATGACATGTCAGGTAGCCATTATACATCATCTAACCTCATGATATGTCAGGTAGTTATTATACATCATCTAACCTCATGACATATCAGGTAGCCATTATACATCATCTAACCTCATGATATGTCAGGTAGTTATTATACATCATCTAACCTCATGACATGTCAGGTAGTCATTATACATCATCTAACCTCATGATATGTCAGGTAGTTATTATACATCATCTAACCTCATGACATATCAGGTAGCCATTATACATCATCTAACCTCATGATATGTCAGGTAGTTATTATACATCATCTAACCTCATGACATGTCAGGTAGCCATTATACATCATCTAACCTCATGATATGTCAGGTAGTCATCATACATTATCTAACCTCATGACATGTCAGGTAGTCATTGTACATCATCTAACCTCATGACATGTCAGGAGGTCATCATACATCATCTAACCTCATGACATGTCAGGTAGTCATCATACATCATCTAACCTCATGACATTGTCATGTAGTCATCATACATCATCTAACCTCATGACATATCAGGTAGTCATCATACATAATTTAACCTCATGACATATCAGGTAGTCATTATACATCATCTAACCTCATGACATGTCACATACTTATTATACATCATCTAACCTCATGACATGTCACATGCTCATTATACATCATCTAACCTCATGACATGTCAGGTAGTCATTGTAAATCATCTAACCTCATGACATGTCAGGTAGTCATTGTACATCATCTAACCTCATGACATGTCAGTTAGTCATCATACATCATCTAACCTCATGACATGTCAAGTAGTCATCATACATTATGTAACCTCATGACATGTCACATACTCATCATACATCATCTAACCTCATGACATGTCAGGTAGTCAGCATACATCATCTAACCTCATGACATGTCAGGTAGTCATCATACATCATCTAAGCTCATGACATATCAGGTAGCCATTATACATCATCTAACCTCATGATATGTCAGGTAGTTATTATACATCATCTAACCTCATGACATGTCAGGTAGTCATCATACATCATCTAACCTCATGACATGTCAGGTAGTCATCATACATCATATAACCTCATGACATGTCAGGTAGTCATTGTACATCATCTAAACCTCATAATGTGCCAGACCGCCTCCGTGGTCTTGTGGTAGAGCGTCCGCCCGGAGAGCGGAAGGTCCAGGGTTCGATCCCGGGCCGCGTCATACAAAAAGACGTTAAAAGATTGTACTTGTTGTTACCCTGTCTGGCGCTCGGCATTAAGGGGCTAAAACAAGGACTGGTCGGCTCGGAGTCAGTATACTGTGTCTGAGTGGGGTATTCATGTTAAACTGCGGCATGGTATCTCAGTGAGCTAGCACTATAAATCGGCATCAGTCCGGACTAGTACAAGCAGCCACACACACACATACACGTGCATGCACGTCGCTATATAAGTGCAATAATCTTGGACGCGACGTTAAACCCAATTTCACCTCACCTCACATCATAATGTGCCAGGTACAGACATTATCCTACATCACCTTCTTCCTCATAATGTGCCAGGTACAGACATTATCCTACATCACCTTACTTCCTGATGATGTACCAGGTACATACATTATCCTACATCACCTTACTTCCTCATAATGTGCCAGGTACAGACATTATCCTACATCACCTTACTTCCTCATAATGTGCCAGGTACAGTTATTATCCTACATCATCTTACTTCCTCATAATGTGCCAGGTACAGACATTATCCTATATCAACTTACTTCCTGATGATGTACCAGTTACAGACATTATCCTACATCAACTTACTTCCTCATGATGTACCAGGTACAGACATTATCCTACATCACCTTACTTCCTCATAATGTGCCAGGTACAGACATTATCATACATCACCTTACTTCCTCATAATGTGCCAGGTACAGACATTATCATACATCACCTTACTTCCTCATAATGTGCCAGGTACAGACATTATCATACATCACCTTACTTCCTCATAATGTGCTAGGTACAGACATTATCCTACATCACCTTACTTCCTCATAATGTGCCAGGTACATCCATTACCCTATATCAACTTACTTCCTCATAATGTGCCAGGTACAGACATTATCCTACATCAACTTACTTCCTCATAATGTGCCAGGTACAGTCATTATCCTACATCACCTTACTTCCTCTTGATGTGCCAGGTACAGACATTATCCTACATCACCTTACTTCCTCTTGATGTGCCAGGTACAGACATTATCCTACATCACCTTACTTCCTCATAATGTGCCAGGTACAGACATTATCCTACATCACCTTACTTCCTCATAATGTGCCAGGTACAGACATTATCCTACTACACCTTACTTCCTCATAATGTGCCAGGTACAGTCATTATCCTACATCACCTTACTTCCTCTTAATGTGCCAGGTACAGACATTATCCTACATCACCTTACTTCCTCATAATGTGCCAGGTACAGACATTATCCTGCATCAACTTACTTCCTCATAATGTGCCAGGTACAGTCATTATCCTACATCACCTTACTTCCTCATAATGTGCCAGGTACAGCCATTACCCTATATCATCTTACTTCCTCATTATGTGCTAGGTACAGACATTATCCTACATCACCTTACTTCCTCATGATGTGCCAAGTACAGTCATTATCCTACATCACCTTACTTCCTCTTGATGTGCCAGGTACAGACATTATCCTACATCACCTTACTTCCTCTTGATGTGCTAGGTACAGACATTATCCTACATCACCTTACTCTCTCATAATGTGCCAGGTACAGTCATTATCCTACATCACCTTACTTCCTTCCTCTTGATGTGCCAGGTACAGACATTATCCTACATCACCTTACTTCCTCATAATGTGCCAGGTACAGCCATTATCCTACATCACCTTCTTCCTCATAATGTGCCAGGTACAGACATTATCCTGCATCAACTTACTTCCTCATGATGTGCCAAGTACAGTCATTATCCTACATCACCTTACTTCCTCTTGATGTGCCAGGTACAGACATTATCCTACATCAACTTACTTCCTCATAATGTGCCAGGTACAGTCATTATCCTACATCACCTTACTTCTTCATAATGTGCCAGGTACAGTCATTATCCTACATCAACTTACTTCCTCATAATGTGCCAGGTACAGTCATTATCCTACATCACCTTACTTCCTCATAATGTGCCAGGTACAGACATTATCCTACATCACCTTACTTCCTCTTAATGTGCCAGGTACAGCCATTATCCTACATCACCTTACTTCCTCTTGATGTGCCAGGTACAGACATTATCCTACATCACCTTACTTCCTCTTGATGTGCTAGGTACAGACATTATCCTACATCACCTTACTTCCTTCCTGATAATGTGCCAGGTACGGCCATTATCCTACATCACTTTACTTCCTCTTGATGTGCCAGGTACAACCATAATCCTACATCTTCCTCATTAGATATGAAAAATGTCATGGGCAAATAGTTGTACCTTGGACTTGAAGCTAAGCAGTATAAAGACTGACCACCATAACTGCATTGGCTCTGGTCTTGTTTTCAAGCATTGGTACACACATAACTGACAAAGTGACATCCTTGAAATTTGGTGTTTCAAGTGTATAGTGTTGTGTTCGGGTTGTGAAATTGCAACTGTCAGTCTAGGCACTGAGTATATTAAGATAGGAAGCAGATGTGTAATGCAGATAGGAAAAGTAATTTATCCAACATGAAACAGTCTGTTTATTTCCTGCTTTCTTTTATCAACGTTGTCTCTTATGAGATTTAAGATATAGTTGAGGTGAATAGTTTAGTTGTGAATATTACTTCCTGATGTTAACTTTAGCCACAACCTGAACTTCACAAACTATTGCTGCTTTGACCTAAAGCATATTTTAGAAGAATTCATTACCTAATACCTGTAGAAGTGGGATCAGGTAATGGTGGTTGTGTGTAGTTGGATCAGTGCAAAGGAAGACTGACTCATATTTTGTCTCATATGATGCAACAGTTCACAATGCAGAGTTGCTGGCGTTGAGTGTGCCTTGATCCGCTGGTGGGTTTGAATCCTAGGTTCATCCTGATAATGATTTGTGGTCTGTCAGCGCTGTACCGTACTTGCTCATGGGTTTCACCATCTTCCCGAGGCAAGGGAGTTAACTGACTTTCAAAGTCCAGTTTCCACCCTTGCCGATCTAGGCTGGAATTCCTAGGCTCGACCCTTGCGCCACCAGTGGTTATTACGAGATAGGTCCCTTCTAAGCCTCTCATATGTACCAGTTAGATTCCACCTCTCGTATCACTTGCATCTGCTTCAAACCAAATGGCGGCGCCCAGTCAAAATGATCTTATCGACAATCAAGATCTATATTGTGATAAAACAGATCTACATAGCGAAGTGCATCAAATCACGTGAGCACCTTGATTAAAAACATGAAAAGACTTGGAAAATATCTGTTGACAACGAGTTGGCGGTGCACATACTTTGCAAATCGTTCAATCGACAGAAATCGGCACGACATTTTACGAACCGGGTGTCAATTTTGGTACGCGATTTTGATTGGACTATGCATAGACTCGTTAGTCCAACCAAAATGTAACTCTATAATACCAGCCTAGTTCGGCAAGAGTGGAAACTGGACTTTTATAGTCAGTTAACTCACTTGCCTCGGGAAGATGGGGTTTCACCGAAGTGTTAAACCCCTGGGGTGTGGGTTACTTGGGGTCTTAACAGTTTTCACTGACTGACTGTGTTTCAGCAGTCTGGAGTTAACAGTGGCAAATGTGATGAGGAACCTGAGCTATGGTAATTGTAAATATTTATCAGTCCATTGTCACAAATAACACAAAACATCACGAAATGCTGCTATTTGATTGCCCTTACTTTATTTTCAGACATGTGACTTCATGAGCGTGGTCATCTGACAGTGTTTAAGATCCAGCTCTGTGCCAAAGTGTGATAGAACTCGTGTTGCGACTGTGTCTTCAACAAGGTTCAACAAAAACTGTGTTTGACTGCAAACTATCTGTTGTAAATAACTTCACTGAAATGTTACGCATCCACTTACAGATATTTTGTCATTTCTGTCCATAGTGTTAATCAAAATATGCATATTCGTGATATAAGGAGCCTGATATTTCACATTTTTTACCCTGCCTGTCAAATTGCAATGATGTTAAGATGGTCCTGATGAAGTCTACAGGCATTTGTCCTGTAAACAGTCCTAATTGATAACCCTTCAAGAGATGTTGATCAGACAACCCAAAACACTGGAAATAATGTCAGAATCCTGTAAAAAGATGGACTATGTCTATCATTTAGAAGTTCAAATTCTACATCATCTTTGACATGTTTATGGATTGTTTGTATTTGGCTTGTATTTGTCATCTGAATTTTGTGGTGTTTCTCATCCCAGCTCTAAATAATCATCCAGCTTGATAATAAAAAATGAAGTTATGTCCACCAATTTCCTCAGCAAAATATTTATCAATGATTTTTACATTTGATACAAAAAAATGTGCTGTATTGTATTGCTCTGCTTACAACTTTGTATTGCTTCTTATATTCCATTTTGATGGAGGCTGGTTTCCTTGTCACAAGTTGTAATATTGTTTTCTGTATCATATACTTTGAAAAGATGTCATCTTTTAGAAATGGAAAAGTGGTTTTGAAATACAAGTTATGATTTACTACATAAACATCTTCCCTTTCAAAAAGCTTTCTGCTTCAGCATGTTCCCATGTAGTTGAGCTCCAGCATGTCGGAGTCGCAGGGTTTATCACATCCTGTGATGGGTGTCAGTGTGGCTGTGGAATATGTCAATAATATTATGTTAACTGAATAATGTTTTGCTTTTGTAATCTGTTTGAAGCCATGCATGAGAAACCTCAATGATTTATTCATTCAAGTGAGAGAAATGAATATTTATGTATTTAAATTTTGAGAAATAATAGAAAGATTCGGGCAAACAGCTTTCTAATTGTAAGTCAATTCTGTGTGCTGTCTGAACTTGTATTTAAAAATATGCACTTAATTGTCTCAGGTGCTCCATGTCATGTCCATGTTGTCCCATTTGTGCATTGACAAGGAAAATGACGTCATTTGATGTTTTTCAGTATGAGAAAGTTCTTTTGAGATGAAGAGTGCCTGTACATGTATGTAAATAGAACAATTTGTTGCAATATATTTTTTTCTGCATAAATTATATTTTCATACGTGTTGTTCTTTTATTTTTATAAAGGAAATGTGTGCATTACAAGGACAAACAACTTTTTATTCATAGAAAAGTTTCTTGAACCAAATATGGATGACAGATTTCACCAAAGTAATATATACCCCTGACCTAATAGAGCAGAGGTATATAGTTACCCCAAGGAATTACGTCCTTCCATCCTTCCTTGGATTTTTTTGTGTGACCTATAACAAAAACATTGCATAGATTATTTTCATACTTGGTGAACACTTTCTATACCAATAGGAAGGATGTGGTGCAAACTTTTATTTCAATGTTTGCATGTTCTGAAAAAATACAGTTTTGTTTCCTTTTTTGACATAGACATTTTTTTTACTTTTAACATTTTTGCAACCCAAAACTTTAAAACTATTTCATGGATTCTTTCAAATTTAGGGAACAGTTTCCATACTAAAAGGAGAGGTGCAGTGCAAAGTTTGATTTGGAATGTGTATTTACTTAAAAATATGTTTTCATGTTTTTGAACATAGAATTGTGTGACCTATAACTTGAAAACTACTTCATATATTCTTTTCAAATTTGGTGAACACTTTCTATACCATTTGGAGAGGTGTAGTGATTTCGAATACTTTTTTAACTTCAACATTTGTGAGACATATAACTTGAAAACTACTTCATGGATACTTTTTCAATTGGGCATATGGTTTCTTTACTAATAGGAGAGGGGCAGTACAAAGTTTGATTTCGATGAGTGGATTTTCTGAGAAAATATGGCCTTTTTTCATTTTTTAAAACTTAGAAATATGTTTGAGTCAAGGTCGGAGGTATTAGTGAGCACTGCACACTTACCTTGTTCTGATCTGATTTTGAACTTGATCACCATTACTCAGGCATTCTGCATGTATTATACAATTACAATAAAAAGATTGACCTTAATCTGTGTAATGTCAGTGCCAGTGAAGTTCACAAGGGGATCTATCACTGCAACAGATGATGTGTCGAGTGTGAGTTGATGAATCACCTTAGAGATGATATTGAGTGGTGGGTGTCGTTTGTGAAACACTAAAACTAACCATACTCATATCCAAAAGTAGACCGCCTTCATGGTCAAGTGGATACAGCATTTGCCCACAGAATCGAAGGATAGTGGGTCGATTCCCAGGCTGTGACATAACTAAAGACGTTACATGATGGTACTTGTTACTCTACCTAGCACTCAGCATTTAAGGGGCTAAAACAAGTACTGATTGGCTCAGAGCCAATATACTGTGTCTGAGAAGTATATTCATGTTAAACTATAGCACTATAAAATTGGCATTAGTAGCACAAGCTCACACACACGCACGCACGCACGCACACATGCCTGCACATCACAATATAAGTGCATTAAAACTGTCTGAAGATAATCAAGTCTGGACCAGACAATCCAGTGATTGACATCATGCGCTTGGAGCTATGCAATTTGGACACGATAACATGGATCAAGTCACCTAGCTTCACATCCTGTTAGTCGCCTTTCACAACAAGTATGGATTGCTTCAGATAATTCTACCCAGATCTTCACTATGAACACATCAATCAGCCCAAAAAATGCAATGGATTTGTTTGCCAAACCATATTTTAATGGATATGGAAACTCTAACAAATAGTTCTCTTGCCAACTTTCTATAATTCATTCTGTTACATGCTGTTCTGGTATGACTGAACAGTGTTTTGCAAAGCATTATTGTGATTACTGTACAAATAATGAACGAAAATGTTATGGACCATTCGTATTATTGCGGATATTTTTATGATTTTTTGTTCAGTATATGTATGGTGAATAAAGCTCAGTCTATGCTAACTTTTCTTATGAGTCCAATATCTAGTTGCTTGGGTGATGCAAAATATTGAGTCATCAGTTAATGTTTTTCAGTAATTAAAAGACTATTTGTTTTTTAATGCTGTGCTCATCCACATGATACCGGCCTCTCAGAATGTAGTGCATGTACTTGGACATCAAGATTACAAGTGATGACCAACATGTCATGACTTTATCAGGCCATTGTGAGATTCATTTATGCAATTGCAAGAAGTTTAGATACCTTTGAGATTATAGAGAAGTTTGTTTAATTTAACAATGTTAATTGTAATATTTTATTATTCCATATTTAATTTTGTTAAGACCTCGTGAGGATTGAGGATTAGAATAGGTCAATAGCAATCAAGGCTTGGTGAACAAGTCGATTGGATTACGTGGTACAGATAGGTGACTTGGATGTGTGTCATCACACCAAGATGGAGTGAATCATTGTGCAGGAAACCAAGCACTGGTTTGTCTGCTCCAGCCTCCATTATTTATAAACCACCAGCATGTACCATTTTTTTTAAGAAAGAAAGAAAAACATATTTGTGTCCAGTAAGTTCAAGGATGATGATTATTTATGATTTAAAATAAACTTTCTAATTTTCTTCTCCAGCAAAGTATCCTCAAAACCTTAAACTTGTTTGGATGAAAATTTCGAAATTGATATTGTATTCAAATGACTTATTTCCTGTTACTCATTCCAGACTTGTTTGGTGTCATGTGAGTGACATAGCATAAATGTTTCCCTTTGCATGAAGGAGTGCTCTGTTGATGAGCTTTTCTTTCATGATTTATTGAATTTTTAATAAAATGAAAGGTCAACTTTTTTTAATAGTCCTGTAACTGTCATTTTATCAACTGATTATGAAAGTTTCAGATGTACTTCCCTTTTGATAAATGTCAAAAGCTAACAAGTTAAAATATGGGAGATGTTTCCTTATTGTAGTCATGTGAACCTTGAATTTAGACAGAACAAAATATTTATATGTTAAGGCATGAACCCTAAATATAGAGTGTCCATGGTTAAGGGGGGGTGGGGTGGGGTTGTATAAATGTAACCTGAATGTAAAGGAGCACGATTGTTTATTTTAGTATTTTCTGTCTTTTGCGAGACTATATGCAACACGGAAATACACTAAACAATGTGTGGTTTAAATTTATACGGCCGCGACACCAGCTCGACTTCAAAGGTGACACGCCCACTTTAAGCAGACGAATTTGAATGACCTCCCTTTGATAAACGGAAGTAGATGTCGCTCATCATACAATGACGTTAGATTGCAGAAAGATGGAGATAAAACAAAATAGACAACATTGACTGATAAAAGCTGATAACTATGACAGATAACATCGAGTTTGGTCCATTGGAGTCGGCAGATCTCTCGCCAACAGGTCTGCAAACGAAAGTGTTATGTGTGTAATTTCTGTGCATCGTAATTGATGCAGTTTTGCACCCGAACAAGTGCTTGTCAATTTTACATAAATTCATGAAAATTGGCATGATTCTTCCATCAGTATGTACGGTGTAGGAAAGAAATAAGTTTGTAAAAACAAATGGTTGAAAGGCCGACGTTTGTTTTTCAATGTATGTAAGTTTATTGCGTTGAAATCATGCCATACGTTATCAGGTGACCATCTATCTTTTTAAAACACACTTCCTCGAACTGAAAATAGTCGATTGTGATATCTCAGTACAAAATATTGTTTGCATCTTGAGGTTGACACCATAAAAAAACCAATGTTATTGTACTCCACACATTCCTGTCTTGTTTTCCGGATTACAGAGATGCAGACATTTAACTAAGTTCAGCTGAACAGCTATGACCACAGCAATGTGTTTTCATTTTCATGCTGTCATGAGATGTAAGTGATTGCTGTCCATTATTGCTTCCGTCCATTCTTCCTTCCAAACATCCATCTGATTTCAATGGGAATGAGTTTTTTTGTTGATTCAAGGATGACAGCTCGATTTAGCTATATTCAACATGCACCAGTGCAATGTATTTTTGAAAAATGCAACATAGTATTTGTGCCTGAGGAATCCTTACTTGTCCACTCAACAATGATCTTTTACCACACTCAATATTAAAGCTTTATTTACCATACTGCATCTCTAATTGGTGTGTTATGTGCAATTCCTGACACATGACGCATGTCATCAGAGACCTGGGATTGTACTTATTTAGACTAGTTCATGCATCTATTTTTCAACTTTGATAAACTTATGGGACCAGGATGCAACCTGGTTATATCTGGTGCAAGTAGCTTTTCATGTCAACATGCATGTTAAAGTGCAAGTTAAATCAAGTTCCTTAAATCGATTCCTCGATGACATTTAGCATGCATCATTTAGGAGATAAACATACTGTCTTTTCAATGTAGAGCTAGGTTACCTGTAGATTTAACCGCGCTAAATTGAATTTGGAACCGAAGCGACCTCTTTGGTACTAGCAAATGTATTGAGTGAAGCGGCATGGGTTGAGTCTAGTTTCTTGAGTGGGTTGTTGATGTGGATTATGGATTCACCGACAACAGTCTTTAAACAAAATATGGTGCTGTATATGCTCAGGCAGTTTGTTTACACCATAATACTTCATTCGAACATGTGACAGGCATTTACAGCATATAAACACGGCAACTTGGAAAGCTAACATAAGGTGGGCACCTCGAAAGAAAACTAAGCAAGCTTTGCAAAGCTTTTGTTCTACACAGAATGTCACCATTATGACGTCTTATTACTCATTGTGACACAAAAGATATGATGTCACCGTCGTATGTAGAAAAGCACCAAATTCCATGCTCTCTGTTGTCCCCAACCTAAAAATACATTGTCTTTGTTGATTTCTATTGTGTTTTCTGCCCGAAATGTATTGCCACACATCCTTTGAATTTTGGAGTAACCTTAACTTTGCATATTGTTAACCTATAAATGTAGGTATAATTATTTAAATAAGCCTACCGACAATGATTGAAAAAAGTATTATTCTATGAATATTAGCTTCCTCTGTGATGTGGCCGTCAAACCAGCTGTTTCAATCAGAGGGGGTTTATTGTGATTTAATAGTCTCTGATTGACCAATCAGAATCGAGTAATTTCTAATCTCATTAAAATCAGATCTTAGTTCTCGCTACCGCTAAACAAAGATCTGAGGACATCCCATTACGGGTCACGTCAGAACAACCTTTCATCCAACCAATCAGAGCGTTGCTTACCAGATCATGAAAGTGACAGTCGGAATTTTCTAATCATGCAACCTCGAAATATTTAACAGAGGGTATTCCGAATGACAGTTATAGGTTTTATAATTATATCCATACAATCTAATCTAGGCCATCTATAAGCCGTTCCAGAATGTTCTTTTGATCAGTTTTAACATTTATGTTCGAGTGCACGTCAGAATATGTTTCGAAGCATAGTCGCCAGTTTGAAACTAGTGACGCAATGCTTGAGAAAGCTGCCTTCTGATTGACTAATGTCGATTTCTTGTCTGTCATTTCATTGGTCGGTCAAAGGTCGCGAAAGGTTCTGACGTGACCCGTAATGGGATGTCCTCAGATCTTTGTTTAGCGGTAGTGAAAACTAAGATCTGATTTTAATGAGATTGAGTAATTTCCAAATTCATGGTAGAATAAAGGCTTGTCAGAGATACTAATACAGCTATTCATGTATGTAATGCAGCTTTTGTGTATATGAAATGACAAGTCTCAGTCAGTGACAAGAACAACCTCATTTGCAGAAGCTTGGTCATTTTTAACTTTGTTACTCAAATTGACAGAAGCAAAATCACCTTCGGAATCCCTATAACCAGGCACTGACAAGAGATTGGTTAAGAATATATTTCATTATTTTTCCTGAAACTTCCCAAACGTATTAGGCTTGTTAGGACTGGTGCCTAATGTTTTCACAGAAATCAAAATTATTTGACTACAGTTGTAAGCATGCAAGGATGGAGAGGGATAATGGATGACTCTTCATGTTTTCATTAAACTTGTTTTAACTCAAATAAATTGAGAGTTGTTTTGCATTCATCATGTTTAACGGCATTCAATGCAGTAGTGCATTACAAAGTATTAAGACCCTTTTTTGCTCTTCCTTTTTTTTTGCATGAAAGACAAGTCACCTTTGTATTATTATTTGAAAATGGGAAAGGTATGGTTCGACCTCAGAGAACTCGTAGATGAATACTCTGATTACATTTTGTATCTCCATTCCATTATAACAAATACCCCGGACCCAAATGCCACCATAACTTGGTTTCGAGTTGAACTCACCGAAATGATGCTAAATATAGCCGTCCAATCAAATTCCCCTGTTCTTTCCTGATTGGAACAAGTACTTGACTCGCCTGGTTGCATGTCGTCTCAGCTGCGGCAGGTTACTCTCGGTAGCATGTGGACTTCAGTTCAAGCTAAAAGAGCAGTTATAGTAGTGTTCTGATTCGATTATGGAGTCTATAAATATTCATTTACTATGTAATTTTGCAAGTAAATCTATGCCTAACTCTCATTGAGAAAAATTGTTTTGATTGGTTGCTGATTTCCAGCTCTTGAGTGAGAGAGTCTCTGTGCTAAGTGATATGAGAGATTTCCAGGGCAGAACTCAAAATTCATGAAAGATATTTTAACCAGACTTGGCACATAGATGGGTCTAGTGGTGACTTTGACTGAAAATGGCAGCAGTGCTCCTTTCCGGATCAGATCTTGAAAACTGTAAAATGTTTCTTCACCAAACTTGGCAATAGATAGGTCTAGTGGTAAACTGGTGCCTTTTGATAGTTTGAAATTTCTGAAAAAATTATTTTTTGAGTTTCCATAGCAACTACTGAGCCTGAAAGCTGGCAGCTCCTGACGTCCTGCACGTATGGTTGTAGATGAGCTGGCAGCTCCTGACGTTCTGCACGTATGGTTGTAGATGAGCTGGCAGCTCCTAACATTCTGCACATATGGTTGTAGATGAGCTGGCAGCTCCTGACGTTCTGCACGTATGGTTGTAGATGAGCTGGCTGCTCCTGACATTCTGCATGCATGGTTGTAGATGAGCTGGCAGCTCCTGACGTTCTGCACGTATGGTTGTAGATGAGCTGGCAGCTCCTGACGTTCTGCACGTATGGTTGTAGATGAGCTGGCAGCTCCTGACGTTCTGCACGTATGGTTGTAGATGAGCTGGCAGCTCCTGACATTCTGCACGTAAAGTTGTAGATGAGCTGGCAGCTCCTGACGTTCTGTATGTTTTGTTGTAGATGAGCTGGCCACCTTGAAGCAGCGACTGGCAGACCTGGAGGAGAGGGAACAGACGCTGGCCCGCGAGAAGCTTGAGGCAGAGAGTGAGTTTGGAATAAAGAGAGCAAAGTTCAAAGAGCTTTTCTTGCAGAAAGAAGGTCAGTCCATGCTCTTGTGGATAGTGCTCTTGTAGGTAGTGCTGACAGTTCATGCTCTTATGGATAGTACTCTTGTAGGTAGTGCTGACAGTTCATACTCTTATGGATAGTGGTCTTGTAGGTAGTGCTGACAGTTCATGCTCTTATGGATAGTGCTCTTGTAGGTAGTGCTGACAGTTCATGCTCTTATGGATAGTGCTCTTGTAGGTAGTGCTGACAGTTCATGGTCTTATGGATAGTACTCTTGTAGGTAGTGCTGACAGTTCATGCTCTTATGGATAGTGCTCTTGTAGGTAGTGCTTGCCATGCTTATCATTTCCTAATGTTAAAAGTGAAAATATCAAGATACTACAGAAAGCCTGTTAACATGGTTAATTTGGATGACTGTTTACCTGTTTAGTTTGTAGATGTGTATATTCAACCAGTACAATGTGTCCACTGTGTTTTAAGGGGTAAGACTGCCAGAGGCCAGGGTCATTGACCACTGAAACCCCAAATGATCGTCAATTGACAATATGAGTCCCCTTATACAGGTTATATTTCTGAAACCTGGCCAGCTAACAATAAAATGTTGCTCTGGGGTCAAAGGTTATAAATAAAAAGTGAAAGAAATGATGTAAGTAAGTTTGTAGACATGTTATCCGGACCCATGAAGATTCCGGGATAGAATAGGTCTTCAGCAACCCATGCTTGTCGTAAAAGGCGACTAATGGGATCGGGTGGTCAGGTTCGCTGACTTGGTTGATGCATGTCATTGATCCCTATTGCGTGGATTGATGCTCATGATATTAATCACTGGATTATCTGGTCCAGACTCAAATTTTTACAGACCGCCGTCATATAGCTGGAATATTGCTGAGTGCGGCGTTAAACAACCAACCAACATGTTATCCGGGTTCCTACATGCATGAATTTGGAAGTCTGGCCTTGAAATGGCCTTGAATTTAAGGTCGTTATTTTGAATCTGCCTTGAACTGTTGAAAGGACCTTAAAATTTGTGAAATGCACATTTGGTAACTATTGTCAATTCTGCTGTGTTAAAAAACGCAAAAATCCTCCAACAATTTGTGATGATATCATGTATCAATTAGTATTTCCAAGAGGAAACACAGAGAAAAACTATCCTATGAAGCAGAGTCAGATATGTTGTTCCATGACAGTTGCCTCAAGAAAAAAACAAAGTTGTAGTTGTGCCTCACAGATATGATTAGACAGTGAATAAAAGTATTAATATTTAGTGATGTATGACATGATCATGATGATGAAGTACATCACATGTGTTCTGTGATAAGTTTCATAATACACTAGGATGTGAAATATTTCAATATTTGCTAAACAATTGGTCAATGAATATTGAAATATACCACTTACTAAACAAATTTGATTAGACAATGAATGACAGTATTCATTAAGTCATGTGTGACATAATGTGAATGTCTTAAAATAGTTCTGTGCTATGTTTCAACATAAGCTAGGAAGTTAAATATTTCAATATTTAATAAAATGTTTTTGTGACCTTTTTGTTATTTTCATGATTTATTGATTATCATACTGCTAAAAAATGCTAGGTAATTATTGAACATGGAGATTGTATGAACATTGTCCAAACTGCACAAAATTGCTTAAAATGCAATCGAATGTTTAAAAATTTCTTGGGGGGCATGCCCTGCTTACATCCCTGATCAATGGCTGGTGCTTGATTAAGTCATAATTTTGAAACTTGACTTGACTATATTTATAAATAAGGGTGTGGGGTATTATCGATGTGTTGGTAAATTGAGGTTCATATTTTCCACAAAACGTTTCACAATATCATTTTTTCATGCTCGATATAGCAGGTGATTTCAAATAGCAATTTTTATGTTGTGTTTTATGTTATATACTTGTCGAACATGGCAGTATTTTCAGTACATATTTCTGAAGAACAACAATTTTTCTTCAAACCAGAATTTTTCACTAAAAGTCTGTAAACCAAACTAATAAACAAATCGGGCCTTGGCAGCTTGGAATGTAGTCTCACTTTCATTTGTGTGGGTTTCTCACCGACTGTTCCAGATGAGCTGAAGAAGGAGAAGGAGACGCGGGCGGAGTGGCAGGACAAGATCAGCCAGTTGGAGGAAGAGCTCGGGCGAGTCAGGGCGGAGCTAGAGGGGGTCAAGACAGCAGCTGCGGTCACTGAGACGTCCCGCTGTGAGGAGCTCACTGAGATCCGGCGCCTACACCAGCAGGAAGTCGACAGTCTCCAGCATATTATGAGTGGTTAGAATTGAGCTCAGAACATTTCTAAAACTGAAATTGGTGTAATTGTTTGTTTGGTGTACTTGATGAAAGGCCATATGACCTTGTGTGCTGACCATCTCTACTGAATTCCTGACCATCTCCATTGAAGTCCCAGGATTATAGAGATGTAATGTGTATGGATGACCTGGTAATCCAGGGTTCATACAGGCTTTGGCCTTGAAGCTCAAGATCCCACTTGAAAAACCTTGAAAATCACCAAAATAGCTTGAAAAGCCTTGAATTTGTTTAAAATGACATTATACTTGTTAATCAAAGTATTAAAGCACACAAAAATATGTACCAAGAAGTTTAAAATGAGATTTGTCAGAGTGATAGATTTGTGGGCCAAAGACCCTGAAGAATTCATGACAGACTGAATTTATTTTTTTGGGGGGTGAAAAATATATCTTATTGGAAAATGTGAGATGGTCATACTGTAAGTCGTAGCAGGATCATGAGGGGTACGTGGGGTTTTATGTGACCTGCGTTAGGTTTTATACCATGAGTCGGAGGCGAGTGGTATAAAACCTGATAAGGGACTCATAAAACCCCACGTGATAGTAAAACCCCAATTGATAGTAAACAGCAGTTCGAATGAGCTGAGGTTAACTTGTGCTATGTCACATGACTTCCATTGACTCAGAAAAAGCGTCCGGCTTTATTCTGTCTCTCAGAAATCCACGTGCAGCCTGTATTGCCCGTGGCAGGGTTTAAGAGTTTTATTCCCCCACTGAGACATTTAATACTCTCCAAGGTGGGTTACACAGTATTTTGCCAAATTTTTTACTTATCCTGTATTACTCCTTAATGCATTGACTGTTTACCTTACGACAACAAAAAGACAGTGCGTAGCGATGGTTTTGGGTGAAGAAATAAAGTTGTTTCAAAGTCACACCCTGCCTTTTGTATGGACCATCGTCGCTATCAATGTGACCTTGATGACAAGTCACCTTCCCCACATCACTGCCTGTCGCACTACAGCAAGGACGGAATTTAGACTACAAGTTTCGGCTACAATTCTAAAATTTATCTATGATGGATGATGTATTCCTTTCATATTATTTTCACTAAGTTTTGTAGTTTTAAGTGGATTATTTAGGCGTAAAAAGATTTTGTCTTTCTTCCCGCCTCATAGATCATGTGGTCAGGCATGGAGACTTATATAGATCGGAGGGTCAGTTTTGGTGACATATAGATCCTATGGTCAAGCTCAATGATTTCAATAGATCCTGTGGTCAGGCTCATTGACATACCGTATATGACCGCGTATAAGCTGAATTTTGAGGACCAGAAAAAAGATTCTGTAGAAAGGGTTCGGCTTATCCACGGGATACACTTTCATGGTAGTATTTTTCAGATCGTGATCCGTCAGAAACATCGCCTGAATGACGGTCCGATAGATTACAACTTCCCGAAAGTTTGCAAGTTGCCACGACTAGAGCCATTATTGTTATAAATTATCAATAAAGTTATTATTATACACCCATGTTGTCATTATTAAAAAATGTTATGCATGTTACTACTTCCGATAATAAGTTTTTCAATTGAATGTTCGAAGTTTATCGTTCTTCATAAACTCCACAATCTTTACATGTAACAATATATTTAATCCACAGCTATAATATATAATCCACAGATGAAATCGCCAATAGCTATTACGTACATTTTGCAAAGTTCATAACTTGATAGTGAACAAGTGTCTAGCTTTATTGAAAGAGGCAAATAAACAACTGTAACGGCGAGTTATTCCGTTTGCCATTTGCAAAAACATGTGATCAGCTGTTTCCTGTGACGTCACAAATGGTGACCACTGTGATTGCTTCCTGTTGTTTAAAAAGCAACACGGTACACAAGGAAATGAGCACTGATAATAACGGGCCGATTGTTATTGTTATGTTGTTTACACAAACACTTTCAAGCTGTGGGTGCTTAGCGATCGTGTTGGGAGTAGGGGCTTAATTCCTTTGTTTTCGAGAGATTAGTTTTAATAAACTGGAGAAGCCTGTGAGTAAGTGATGGTCATTATCCCCCGCCGCGCGAAAGCGCGAAGCGGGGGATATAGTATTCACGACCGTCCGTCCGTCCGTCCGTCCGTCCGTCCGTACGTCCCACCTGTTTGTTGCCGCGATATCTCAAGAACTAAACACTGGATTGTCTTCATATTTGGAACTATGGTGTATATACAGACTCCGCAGACACCAGTCGGTTTTGGTGACCTTGACCCCATTTTCAAGGTCACAGCAGGCATATCTGCTTTTGGAGTTGGAAAACGGTGTTGCCGCGATATCTCAAGAACTAAACACTGGATTGTCTTCATATTTGGAACTATGGTGTATATACAGACTCCGCAGACACCAGTTGGTTTTGGTGACCTTGATCCCATTTTCAAGGTCACAGCAGACAAATCTGCTTTTAGAGTTGGAAAACGGTGTTGCCGCGATATCTCAAGAACTATACACTGGATTGTCTTCATATTTGGAACTATGGTGTATATACAGACTCCGCAGACACCAGTCAGTTTTGGTGACCTTGATCCCATTTTCAAGGTCACAGCAGACAAATCTGCTTTTAGAGTTGGAAAACGGTGTTGCCGCGATATCTCAAGAACTAAACACTGGATTGTCTTCATATTTGGAACTATGGTGTATATACAGACTCCGCAGACACCAGTCGGTTTTGGTGACCTTGATCCCATTTTAAAGGTCACAGCAGGCAAATCTGCTTTTGGAGTTGGAAAACGGTGTTGCCGCGATATCTCAAGAACTAAACACTGGATTGTCTTCATATTTGGAACTATGGTGTATATACAGACACCGCAGACACCAGTCGGTTTTGGTGACCTTGACCCCATTGTCAAGGTCACAGCAGGCAAATCTGCTTTTGGAGTTAGAAAACGGTGTTCCCGCGATATCTCAAGAACTAATCGCTGGATTGTCTTCATATTTGGAACTATAGTGTATATACAGACACCGCATACACCTGTCAGATTTGGTGACCTTGACCCCATTTTCAAGGTCACAGCAGGCAAATCTGTTTTTGGAGTTGGAAAAACCGGTGTTGCCACAATATCTCAAGAACTAATCGCTGGATTGTCTTCATATTTGGTACTATGGTGTACAGGCGGGGGATATTTCGTCACTCTGTGACAAATACTTGTTTAATTTGTTCATAGTTTATTTAATATAATTGGATTAACATACAATAGTGGCGGCAATTTTTGAAGTTGAATTGAAGCAAATTGGTGAGATACTGCATAGGTGTATAAAAGTTGGAATATTTTTATTGCGTGGCATTCTCATCATGAGTTGAAAATGCCACGCTTACGATGCTGCATTCAAACTGCGAGTTGTCGCTGTTGCTGGTACATTTTCTCACGGGTTCATAATTCTATATACACCGATTCACAAAATGGCACTTCGCTGTTGATGGCAACAAAAAACGATCAAAATGAGATTAAAAAAAGACAAGAGAAACAGCTTCCCACATTATGAAAGTGGATGACTGGTTTGTTAAATCTTCATTAGAAATAATAATGACTTTTTCAATATAATTACAACGTTTTCCATCTTATATTATTGAATATCTGCGAGTACTTGCACATGTCTTGCAGTCCGACTTCGCAGTGTTTTTTCCCTTTCACTTCCTGGTTCGGCTTATCTTCGGGTCATATCATTTTCTTTCGTATTTCAATGGTCAAGTTAACACCTCAGCTTATCTACGGGGTCGGCTTATCTGCGGTCATATACGGTAGAGATCAGGTGGTCAGGCTTGCTGACTTACTTAGATCGGTTGGTCAGGTTTGGTGACTTATATAGATCCTGTGGTCAGGCTCAATGATTTCAATAGATCCTGTGGTCAGGCTTGCTGACTTACTTAGATCAGGTGGTCAGGCTTGCTGACTTACTTAGATCAGGTGGTCAGGCTTGCTGACTTACTTAGATCAGGTGGTCAGGCTTGCTGACTTACTTAGATCAGGTGGTCAGGCTTGCTGACTTACTTAGATCAGGTGGTCAGGCTTGCTGACTTACTTAGATCAGGTGGTCAGCCTTGCTGACTTACTTAGATCAGGTGGTCAGACTTGCTGACTTACTTAGATCAGGTGGTCAGGCGTGGTCACTTAATTTACAGCCTAAGCATTAGATATTGCTCTTAATTTTAAACACTGACAGCATTTATTCATTTTCAGGTCTCTCTGATATATATATATATATGTATATATATATATATATAAAAAAAGACACTGGTGCTTGTCAAAACCCCTTTTGTCCAGTGTGAATAAAGGAATTTTGACAAGCATGAGTATCTGGACTCTGTTTTTTTGTATATTTAATACTTATACACCTGATGAAATACTTTGTTTAAATATGATCACATAACTTCATATATTTTGTTGGTTTTTTAGAAGCAGCAGATGAGGCTTCCAACTCCACAGCAGCTCAGTACGAATGCGAGAGAACCAAACTGTCCAATCTCACCGTTAAGTACGAGGAAGAAATTCAATCATTGCGAAGCAAACTCAGTCAGGAAAGGTCAGTTAAAGAAGCATGCTATGGAATACTGTTCATGCTATACTGTTCGATGCCAGCCTTCCAGTGTCTATGGTCGTGTGTTGTGCTGCATCCAATGTAGATGACAGGCATCTAATCACAGCTATATATACCCTATGGACGTAGAATAGATTTCAAGCACCTCATGTGTGTTGTCCCCTGTGGACAAATAGGTTCAGAGTAGGTACCCAGTATTAAAAGGAGACCGGTTGGTGATCAGATGATTGTATGGCATCATGGCCCTCACAGTGGAGCACTGCCCATACTTACAACTACTAGTTTGCTTGGATGATACTCAGTTGTTTACATACTACTTGAATATCGGTGTCTGCCACATTAAAAAGCATTCAGCCATGCTTGTTGTGTCAGGTGTGTCAAGTGTGTATTTGTGGGTACAGGGACGACTGATATTGAGGTTTGGATGGGTGGCCACCATGAATGACATTGAATGCATACACTCAACATATAGTTTGGGGAAACCTTGTAAAGGTTAGTAGTTTTCTTCCAAAATGTTGTCATGATTCTCACTACTAATTGAAAATGAATAGTACACCTTTTATATTTGGCAGGTTCTTGCTTGTGGAAATGCCTCATGCAGTGTTAGAAGTCAAATTGTGACATGCTTAGACGGAGTTAGTTTACTACAAATGTGTGTTACATGGACCTGGGGCCACAGTCAAATTATCTAATATCAAATGTTCAAAGTTTGTTTCATTTGTGTTGTCATAATGTGACTACCAAGGATGTTGTATTTGTCTATTGTGTATCTGCATTGTAGGCAACCATTCACTCACTCATTACCAAGGAGGCCTCAAAGTTATACATGGCCTATAAAGATGATGTTTTGTTTCAGGGAAGGTTTTCTCGCCAATGTTGCCAAGTCTTTGAAGCGAGTAGGAGGGATTGGCCCCAACCTGACTCCTGAACAGGAGAACTTAGAGGACAGCATGAGGAAGGTGGGTGTACGTGAAGGACTGTGTGACCTCGTAATAGGGACTTATGTAGGATCATTGGTGGGTGTACGTGAAGGAGTGTGTGACCTCGTCATAGGGACTTATGTACAATCATTGGTGGGTGTACGTGAAGGACTGTGTGACCTCGTAATAGGGACTTATGTAGGATCATTGGTGGGTGTATTTGAAGGACTGTGTGACCTCGTCATAGGGACTTATGTACGATCATTGGTGGATGTATGTGAAGGACTGTGTGACCTCGTCCTAGGGACTTATGTACGATCATTGGTAGGTGTATTTGAAGGACTGTGTGACCTCGTAATAGGGACTTATGTACGATCATTGGTAGGTGTATGTAAAGGACTGTGTGACCTCGTAATAGGGACTTATGTAGGATCATTGGTAGGTGTATTTGAAGGACTGTGTGACCTCGTAATAGGGACTTATGTACGATCATTGGTAGGTGTATGTAAAGGACTGTGTGACCTCGTCATAGGGACTTATGTAGGATCATTGGTAGATGTATGTGAAGGACTGTGTGACCTCGTCCTAGGGACTTATGTACGATCATTGGTAGGTGTATGTAAAGGACTGTGTGACCTCGTCATAGGGACTTATGTAGGATCATTGGTAGATGTATGTGAAGGACTGTGTGACCTCGTCCTAGGGACTTATGTACGATCATTGGTAGGTGTATGTAAAGGACTGTGTGACCTCGTCCTAGGGACTTATGTACGATCATTGGTAGGTGTATGTAAAGGACTGTGTGACCTCGTCCTAGGGACTTATGTACGATCATTGGTAGGTGTATGTAAAGGACTGTGTGACCTCGTCCTAGGGACTTATGTACGATCATTGGTAGGTGTATGTAAAGGACTGTGTGACCTCGTCCTAGGGACTTATGTACGATCATTGGTAGGTGTATGTAAAGGACTGTGTGACCTCGTCCTAGGGACTTATGTACGATCATTGGTAGGTGTATGTAAAGGACTGTGTGACCTCGTCCTAGGGACTTATGTACGATCATTGGTAGGTGTATTTGAAGGACTGTGTGACCTCGTCATAGGGACTTATGTACGATCATTGGTAGGTGTACGTGAAGGACTGTGTGACCTCGTCCTAGGGACTTACGTAGGATCATTGGTAGGTGTATGTGAGACAAAGGATCTCCATGTCCTAATCATAAGGGCTAAAGCAGTGTAAGATGTGACTCAATCATTGTTCCTTCAGGCCCAGGAAGACGCGGAGATGCTCAAGTCCGTGGTGATGCCACTTGAGGAGGAGATTTCTATGCTGAAGGAAAAACTGAAGCTCGCAGAACAGAAGGTATGTTAGATAACAGGCATGAGAATATGAGGGAGAGTCTAGGGACGCCAACAAGTCTTCCTTCAGGCTTTAACATGGGCAAGGTCATGAATTATAAAGAAGTGACAGTTCTCAAATTGTGTTACGCCCTGTCCAATACACATATTTGTTGATGAAAGATCCTCAGTGTACACAGAGATGTATATTATGCAAGATATTTGTGAATTGTATATACAGAACCAGAGTTCATGCAGTTTGTCAAGTTATAGCTATAAATGTGTCAGCTGTGATGTTTGTTAACTGTACCACATAGCATGAGGGGAAACTGTTGGAGGAGACAGACGATTGTTTTGAATTTGTCTTGTTTTCATGGACATGCATGTGTACTGAATCTTCTGATTGCTATACAGATATCTGTGAATGAGTGTCTGTTGGGTGATGAGGCGAAGAAATCTCCATCTCTACCAGATCTGGATGATTTAAAGGACCCTGATGAAAAGGTATACACATAAGATATCTATTGAAACTTGTTCATCTGAATGTTCTGTGTTCGTGTACAACTTGTCGACATGTGTTTTTATGAAAGCTTTTCAACATGACAGCATACCATATCTTTATGCTCTTGTACAATGTTGTAAACAGCAGAGTTTAGTGCAAATGTGTCAGTGTCTGGTTGATGTAGTTTAAGGTGAGATCAGTGCTGCCTCCTTCAGCCAGTGGTGTACATGATGCAGGTTGCTAGGAAATGTCTGAAATGGGGCTTTGTTCTTACTTCCATGCAGACTGCCTCCATGGTCTAGTGGTAGAGCGTCTGCCTAGAAAGCAGAAGGTCGGGGTTTGATTCCCCAGGCTCGGCATTCCAAAGATGTTAAAATATGGTACTTGATGTTACCCAGCCTGGCACTCAGCAATAAGGGGCTAAAACAAAACTGGATGGCATGGAATAAGTATACAGTCAGGTCTTGTTAATCCAACAATTGACTTTATCCGACACTAATGATGGGAACCGAATAAATCAGTGCTATTTAGACCCGTTAATCCGACAGTCTCGCACTCTGACTCCGACACACCTAATTTGCAACAAATTACCGAAATCACTTATTAATCGGTCTCCCGTTAATCCGACACAGTAATCTGCGTACTCTGTGGTCATCTGCCCGCGAGTACACAGCCCCGTGTTTTGATGCGAGACAAGTCGGCTGGTAGCTACATATTACAACAAACAACAATTAATGCTTTAAATAAACAAAACAGGATTAATCACATGCTTAGATTACCTCAATATCATTAAAATCAGATACAAGTTCTCGCTACCGCTGAGCCCATCCCATTACAGGTCACTTTAGAACGGCCTTTCGCAAACTTTGACCAACCAATGAAATGCCTAACAGGAAGTCGACATTAGCCATTAAGAAACAGCTTTCTTGAGATTTGCGGCACTAGTTTTAAACTGGCAACTTCCATTCCAGGCAATGCTTTTTAAAATATTTTGAATCAGTCATACAGCCCGAACTGTGACTTGACTGTACTATGTCTGAGTGGGTTATTTATGTTAAGCTGCGGCATGATATCTCAGTAGGCTAGCACTATAAAAACATTGGCATTAGTACAAGCAGACACACAGACAGACAGACAGACACACATATTTCACCTTGACTTGCTTGATGTGCAGCATTGCAGCTAAATAACTGGAACTTTTAAATAATCCCAAGTAGGCTATATAAACCAGGGGGTAAAATTGTGATCAACGTCCCTAGGCTGACAGGATACAATAACACACTATCAACGGGTCACTGAGCCAGACTCACTACATCCAAGACAGTTGCACATGTAAAACCCTCCATTGATGGGTTATTATATTTTGTGGGTGGAAAATTGCACTTGGCGGGTATGTTGTAGATTGCCAAGCTGATGAAGTACTTGAAGGGAGAGAAGGCTGCAAGGACGGACCTGGAGATGTATGTGGCAGTCCTCACCACGCAGAAGAATGTCCTGTGTGAGGACATGGACCGGGTCCAGAAGGAGATGAATGAGGGTGAGGCCTGGGACTTGGTATTGGCACATAAATCGTATTGGAATAAATCGAAATACAGAGAGCTGTAGTGCGATACATATTGCAATACGTATTGGGGGCCGAGGATGTTCAAATGGAATTTTTCATTCAATAACCCAGACTTCAGATTGCGAAATGGGTAGTATGAACAACCGAAACTACCCATTGATTATGTCAATATGGAATGTTAATGTAAACATTGGGAAGTCTGTGCTGTTTAGATAGGAACCCAGTCCATCCAAATGCCTCCGGATAGTAGATCAATTTTATGTACTTATATATTAATTCTTCTGTGATTTTGGAAAATATTAAAACAGTTGTATTGTGATACATGTTTTGCTGACGGCCATATTGCATTATACCAGTATACCAGTTATATTGCACACACCTATATGGAATGTCCTCGTACATTGCAAGTTATGTTAAGCATACATTCTGCTGAGATTCTAAGAATCAATGGGACTGAGAACCTCTAACATGTCTAATCAGTGCTAGATGAGATTACATGTGAGGAGGAACATCCTAGGTGTTTCAGATCTGATGTAATGTGCAGTAGGTATTTTTGTGGATTGTTGTCTCTCTCTTTCTGCAGTATGTTCGCTGCTGGAGGACGAGAAACAAAACCATGAGGCACTGAAACAGACATGGCAGATGGCCAATGACCAGTTCTTGGAGTCACAGCGACTCATGATGATGGACATGCGACGCATGGAGACTGTCCTCACCTCTGAGCAGCAGAGGCAGATAGCAGGTGCTTGTTGTAGACCTTATCTAAAAGCTTCAAATAATGGTGAAATATTCTCATTCCAGTCTGTTTCAGATCTACAGGTATTGTGAGCTGGATGTTAATTCACAGCCAATGTGATGTTCATGATTGTATGTACTGTATAGTTGATGCCCTCTGTATCCAGAATTTATGAGGCCATCTCATGTCAGACCTGCTTTTGTAAATGTTATTGTTTTAGAAAGAGAGGTTCTTTGTAATGAATATTAACAATATTTTCAGAGCTCCAACAGAAAGATTTGGAGCGGGAGGCACAAGAGAAGAAAGTGAAAGATTTGGAGGAAGCCAGGGAAAAGCAGGAGAAGGAGCTGGCTGAGAGAAGGAAACACAGTGTATCAAGGATGGGTGAGTAGTCTTCGGGGTGAGTTGGTAGGTAGACTCATGAGAAGGTGGATATGGAAGGTGGAGTTCTGTAGAGTTGTGAGAAGGTGGATGAGTAGATTTGGGGTGTAGAGTCATGATGTAGAGTCATATGAGAAGGTGGATGAGTAGAGTTGGGGTGTAGAGTCATATGAGAAGGTGGATGAGTAGAGATGGGGTGTAGAGTCATAAGAGTGAGTGAGTGAGTTTGGTTTTACGCCGCTTTTAGCAATATTCCAGCAATATCACGGTGAGGGACACCAGAAATGGGCTTCACACATTGTACTCATGTCGGGAATCGAACCCGGGTCTTCTGCGTGACGAGCTAATGCTTAAACCACTAGGCTACCCGACCGCACCTTAGAGTCATAAGAAGGTGGATGAGTAGAGTTGGTGTGTGTGGTCAAGATGTAAAGTCATGAGAAGGTGGATGAGTGGAGTTGGTGTGTGTGGTCATGATGTAGAGTCATGAGAAGGTGGATGAGTGGAGTTTGGGTGTGGAGTCATGAGAAGGTGGATGAGTAGAGTTGGGGTTTAGAGTCATGAGAAGGTGGATGAGTGGAGTTGGGGTGTAGACTCATGAGAAGGTGGATGAGTGGAGTTGGGGTGTAGAATCATGAGAAGGTGGATGAGTGGAGTTGGGGTGTAGACTCATGAGAAGGTGGATGAGTGGAGTTGGGGTGTAGAGTCATGAGAAAGTGGATGAGTAGAGTTTGGGTGTAGAGTCATGAGACGGTGGATGAGTAGAGTTGTGTAGAGTCATGAGAAAGTGGATGAGTAGAGTTGGGGTGTATAGTCATGAGAAGGTGGATGAGTGGAGTTGGGGTGTGGAGTCATGAGAAGGTGGATGAGTGGAGTCATGTAGACTCATGAGAAGGTGGATGAGTAGAGTTGGGGTGTAGAGTCATGAGAAGGTGGATGAGTAGAGTTGGGGTGTGGAGTCATGAGAAGGTGGATGAGTGGAGTTGGGGTGTGGAGTCGTGAGAAAGTGGATGAGTGGAGTTGGTGTGTGTGGCCATGATGTAAAGTCATGAGAAGGTGGATGAGTAGAGTTGGGGTGTAGAGTCATGAGAAGGTGGAGTTGGGGTGTAGAGTCAAGAGAAGGTGGATGAGTGGAGTTGGGGTGTAGAGTCAAGAGAAGGTGGATGAGTAGAGTTGAGGTGTAGAGTCATGAGAAGGTGGATGAGTAGAGTTGGGGTGTGGAGTCATGAGAAGGTGGACGAGTGGAGTCATGATGTAGACTCATGAGAAGGTTGATGAGTAGAGTTGGGGTGTGGAGTCATGAGAAGGTGGATGAGTAGAGTTGGGGTGTAGAGTCATGAGAAGGTGGATGAGTAGAGTTGGGGTGTGGAGTCATGAGAAGGTGGATGAGTGGAGTTGGGGTGTGGAGTCATGAGAAGGTGGATGAGTGGAGTCATGTAGACTCATGAGAAGGTGGATGAGTAGAGTTGGGGTGTAGACTCATGAGAAGGTGGATGAGTAGAGTTGGGGTGTAGAGTCATGAGAAGGTGGATGAGTAGAGTTGGGGTGTGGAGTCATGAGAAGGTGGATGAGTAGAGTTGAGGTGTGGAGTCGTGAGAAGGTGGACGAGTGGAGTCATGATGTAGACTCATGAGAAGGTGGATGAGTAGAGTTGGGGTGTAGAGTCATGAGAAGGTTGATGAGTAGAGTTGGGGTGTGGAGTCATGAGAAGGTGAATGAGTGGTGTTGGGGTGTAGAGTCATGAGAAGGTGGATGAGTAGAGTTGGGGTGTGGAGTCTTAAGAAGGTGGATGAGTAGAGTTGGGGTGTGGAGTCATGAGAAGGTGGATGAGTGGAGTTGGGGTGTGGAGTCATAAGAAGGTGGATGAGTAGAGTTGGGGTGTGGAGTCATGAGAAGGTGGATGAGTGGAGTTGGGGTGTAGAGTCATGAGAAGGTGGATGAGTAGAGTTGGTGTGTAGGGTCGTAGAACCACAAATACTTCTGGATTCCATAGCTGCAACCTTCCAATACTCATCCCGTTTCAGAGCTCTTAACTAGTCCATCATGTTTCCAAGCAAATATAATGCAGTACATATCATAAATTACTACTCCATCAACGCATGTCAATTAAGTACAATAAGAGCAATATTTTAAGACTAACTTGGTGACATTTGCACCTGAGAGAATGCACAGGACGGCCATCACCTCAGGTTATAGGCCATTTCATATATGCATGCAAGTTTATCATCATTTCACTGTTAAAGTACATTTTAAGGGTAATCACAATATCAGTTAAGACAGGCTAGATTAGGTCAATTCGCGTTATTTTGATATATGCTCTTTTTATAGTCCTATGACTCGTATTACATTAGGCCAGATAAGCAGTTTTCTAGCATTTCCGACAGTACTTCAGTGGTGTGAGTGTGTGTTAGTCTTTTAGGACTAACAGGATCCATATTAATGAGGTTCGACTGTATTTATAGCATAAAACATGTACATAGTGAATCAAAGACGTTTTCATTATAGATGGCAGTGTAACAAGTATACATGGCTTGTGTTGATGACGACATGCTACTATGGACACCTCTTTGTTCTTTGTCTATGCTCATTACAGCATGTCTGCTTCAGAACAAGCTGCTGCCTCTGCTGCTTTAAGTGAGGATGAAACCAAAGAGGTATGGTCACTTTGAGCCTGATACCTGTAAATCTGTTTGCTCTCTTCATGATGGGTAATTCTTTTAGTGAATATGCCAAATTTGTGATCTTCCCCAAAAGTAATTCTGTAACATTCCATGATAAAGAGTTTTGTAGCAGTACTCCGTCTTTACAACCCGACTCAGTCATTCTTTGAACTGTTTGATCCAGAATAACAGAAGGCTGTGTTCACTATAAGTTTCATTGATTTTATTCTGCAGCTTTTGATTCAAGCTTTTATCGACTGTTTAGTAACCCAGTTGTGAAAGTGTCTATCAGTAGTTCTCTCACCGATGGCCATAGTGTTACCCATAAGTGTGCAATTCATGAAGCTGCTTTCTGTGTACTGTAATATATATTGCTGGAATAGTTAAAAACTCCCTCTGTCACTGTTACAGAAACTAAAGAGACGTCCCAATGTATTGGACAAGTCTCAAAGCCGGTCAAATGCATCACTAATTTCCAACACATCAGAAGAACTCATTCCATTTGATGTGTCAGCAGACGATGAAATCCGCAAATCACTTTCTAGTCCGGACATCAACTTTGATGACAAGTTCCTTGACAGCGGTGTCCATGACAGCCTCAGTGAGGTGGACGGCATGACCATCAGAATTAGTCCTGATAAAGTCTTGAATCTCCCTTCGCTTACAGAGGCTCAGATGAAATCAATTACTGGTAAAGGAATGCTTTGTTTTCAAGGGATCTGCCCACAGTTACTTTAATGTTGCCATAACAGGTGGTTTATTATATTCCGTTTCCAGTCAGTATGAACATGTGGTTGCAGTGTGGTTTCATCGTTTGGCATTGCGTGTCATTGTACCTTGTCGGTGTAAATTGTTGCTCATAATATCAATCACTGGTCCAGACTCCTAATGTTTTAAGGCTGCCATCATATAGCTGGAATATTGCTGACTGATCATGATACTTTCCCACTTAAAAAGACAGTAAAATGTTTTAGCACAAAGAAGCATTATTCAAACGGTCAAGAGAAGATGAAACAAACTTTGTTTCTTTGTTTCACACCCCTATTATGATGTCATGATCTTCTACAGACAGGAACGCCAAGTATTGTGACCTGCACCTAACATTGCTATGATAAGCCTATTCCTGTCACAGATCCCACCCCTGACTCGGAAGCCAGACGTATCTTGTTGGCAAGTGCCAAGATGAAGACTGAAGGATTGTCACTGGAAGGGAAGCGGCTCGTTAGTGAAAAGGAGTGGAAACTAATACAAGATGAGGTAAAACTACTGCAGCAAGTAACAATGAATCTCACCAAATTGAGGGTGAGGTAGTAGTTCCATGAAGCCATTGTAAGTACATGTTAAGGCACTGGTAGGTCCCTAGGGCCTTTGTACAGACACATTGTAGTCTATCATGTTTTTGTTCACAGTGATGGGGATAGTATACACCACTCTGTTTCAAAATACAAGGGCCTTCCTCTATCAGGTATGAGAGTTAAGACAAGTTTGCGAAACTGGGCCCTGACTGACTTTGACTCATTGTACGGACCTTGGCGTGATGCCATCTTGTTTTGGCTAAATGTTTGCTTGTGCCCAGGTGAAGTCTGCACGTGAGAAGCTGGGTCGACCCTGTGATATGTGTACCAACTATGAGACGCAGCTGCAGACAGTGCAGGAGGAATTGAAGGCCGCTACCACAGAGGCCGCACGGCTGGACCGCCAGCTGAACAGTGAGAAGCAGGCCCTTACCAACATTACCAAATACCAGACCGAGCTGGAGGAGGCTTTGAAGGAATCATCAGAGGAGGCCGAGAAACAGGTGAGCCAGGGGACAACTATTTGATATTCCAGTGGGGCTCGGGAATTGTTTAAGTTAGGTTGCATTAACAGACTCCACAAAGGGACAGTTATGCTATTTTGAACTTGTGTGTCACATGCACAATGTTTTCAAATAAATGCTATTTTCAGATTTCCAGTTTAAACAACAAGCTGCAGGACTGTGAGAAGTACCTGAAGGAATGCAAGCAACAGTTCATCCAGTCACAGCTACAGCTACAGGACCAGTTGGTAGGCAAATAGCACCTGCTACTGTCACACTATAATCACAGCTACCACTACAGGACCAGTTGCTAGGCAAATAGCACCTGCTGCTATCACGCTATAGTCACAGCTAAAGCTCCAGGACCAGTTGCTAGGCAAATAGCATCTGCTACTGTCGTGGGACCACTTGTTAAGGGTAGAATAGATCTTCGGCAACCCATGCTTGCTGAAACACGTGACTGGATCTGGTGGTCCGAGTCCCTGAGTTGGTGGATGCATGTCATCATATCCCAATTGGTCCCAGGGTAGAATAGATCTTTGGCAACCCATGCTTGCTGAAACACGTGACTGTGGATCGGGTGGTCAGAGTCCCTGACTTGGTGGATGCATGTCATCATATCCCAATTGCGTGGAAGGATGCACACGGGATTGTCTGGTCCAGACTCTATAGCTGGAATATTGCTGAGTGTGGCGTTAATAAACAAACAAATCCTTGTATTATGTAGCATGGAATGAACTGTCATAGACATACTTCTCTACCATAGAGCATTGCATTGTGGTCATTACCCAATAAATAACATGGTGTAACACTGTTTCTGATCAAATGAGGTCCTTTTATCCCCAGAAATCACTCACAGAGTCAAGGGAGGAAATCCAGAAAGAGGTAAGGGTGATCTGTTTGATCTGGACTTGTCTTTGTTCCACACAAGGTGCAACATCTAGTTACAGATACACTTGACTAGAAGTCAGTGTAACTCTTGGAATAAGGACATCAGGACTACAGGAATTACTGACAGACAGACAGAAATGTCTCTCATATGCAATGTCCACTTGGGGGATCTGAGGGCAGAATATGTCCAAAATACCTCATGTTTTCTATGAAAGAACTGATACCAATGGTGTTTGGCTCATAACAATGTCGGATGTGGCTGATTGGGTGTCATCTGTCCCATAACAATAAGAATTGTTGATTGGGTGTTATCTGCACTGCCAACATGGTTCATTGCTCATGCTATCAACCAGTGGTCACACAGTGAGTCCTGTCCAGACTAGATCCAGGTTGCAGTGACATAGCTGAAATCATGACATCGTGACATCATGTTTTTGTCATAATTTAGCCTATGTTTTGAAACAAACCTTGCTGTGCTTCAGATAAAGCTTATTCAAGAAGAAAATGATAGCCTGGTTGGGAAACATTCAAAAACTGCCCAGCAGCTGCAGAACGAGGACATCAACCTGCCGAACAACATGGAGGTGAGGAGAGCAGCAGACAACCAGCCCACAACACTTCTGTGTGACTAACTCACTGTTCCCAACATAGTCGGACAGTTAGTGTGGGCATGTTGCTATTCTCATTTTTCCTGTTGGCAATGTCTACATATGTACGGAGGGTATGTCTGTAAATTGTGAGTAGTTTATCATGCCATTGTTGATGATTTCACTTGAATGGTGGTGTGTAAGTTAATGGGGTTTCAATCTGCCAAGTTAAGAACAAAGGCCCATTTCAGGTGGGAGTCATATCTATCTCAGGGCTACTTGGCAAATCATTGCTTGTTTCTTTCTTCTCATAATCTAAAAATATAAAGGCTCTTGTTCTCTGGTGTTGCATCACACTGTACAGAGTTATGTCCTTTGGCTGCTAGGATCTGATGGTTGATTTAAATGCAAGCTTTGCCCAAAATATAATCCTTGGTCTGTCAGCAACAAAATCGTTTTGTGGGTTTCCTGGTGGTAGTAAGCATCAACGACCTGAGGCATTGTGGCTTTTCCTCCCAATGTCACTGAAATAACTGAAATAAGCTGAACTCACTCAGTCACTGTTGTGATGCTCATGTTGCAGGAGATGCAGCTGTTGCTGCTGAAGTACCGGGAGGAGATCATCGCGGCCAAGGTGGCAAAGGAGCACACCGAGGAGACGCTGAGGAGTGAGATCATGTTCCTCAAGGACCAGGTGGTGTCAGAGCAGCAGGAGAAGAACACCATTGAGGAGACACTCAGCCAGGAACTCAGCACCCTGCAGGAGAAACTAGGTGAGGAAAAGGAGGGTCTCACTTGGCTGGTTCACTGGGCACATGTAGTCAAAATATTTTTGGAAATAGTTCTTGGTAGACATATAGGAGTGACACACCACACACCTTGTCATGTCTTGAAGCCATACCCACGTATCCCAAATAAACAGACTTGACAGTTATGTGGAATATAAGCCAGGTAAAGATCAGTCTGAAGAAAATAATCTGAAAGTGATATTAAACAAATGACAGGAAAATAGGCTATTGTATTCTCTAGGTAAGTCTCCTTATACTTACCCAAGAGACTCATTTGTACTATAGGAACCATGTTTGTTTGTCTCAGTATGTCATGAGAGTGTGCAGTCCGAATTGGAGAGAGAGTCTTCAGTGCGGGCGGAGTCTGAGACCAAACTCCGTGAGACGGAACAGTCACTGAAGAGCGTGCAGGCCAAGTCCAGGCAACTCATCAATGCACTACAGCAACGTGTGGAGGAGCATGAGCGCTCTAAGGTAGATAACTCTTCTCATCCCTTAATCTACTGACTGGTTACTTTGGACACAACTGTTCAATTCTGGTAAGATATTATTTTTTTTGCCACCGACCACTGTTTGTGGAGGATTTCTGTTATAGCTGCAATGTTGCTGACATAATGTGCAGAGATGCAACCAGTATGGTTTGGATGGAATCGTCGCAATATTTGGAACCAAAGTACCAAAATATGATTAAATGAAATGGATTACTAACTTCAGCAATAAAACCATAGCCAGCACCTTGGGCGGAATCAATAATCAATGAATAATCAAGTGTTTTAGCTTGTGATGGGAAGGTTTACAAATGTTGAGAAGTTTGGGTGATGACATGCAATGCAATAGATTTGTTTTCATCAAATCATACAGTTGATCAACTACTTATTACTAATATTTCTTGCACCAAATCTTTTTACATATCCTGCAATACTCCTTTATGCATTCACTGCTTACCTTACGACAACCAAAAGGCAGCATACGGCGATGGTCTTGGGTGAAGAAATAAAGATGTTTCAAAGTCCAACTCCTGCTTTTTGCACTGACCACCGCTGCTGCCATGTGACCTTGATGACGTCACCTTCCTCGCATCACTTCCTGTCGCACTACAGCAAGGACATGTCTCAGCAGACCTTCAGCTTTGGATATATTCTTAATTTTATCTACGATGGGTGATGTATTCTCTTCATATTACTTTCACAAAGTTGTGTAGTTTTGTGTGGATTATTTAGGCGTAAACAATTTTTTTTGCCTGCAAATGTAGTCCAATTGTTAACAATTCTCAGCTATGTATGTATAACATATTCATATGTTTTAAAATACTAGTAGCTTTGGCGTTACATAGAGTTTGCATGTATCAATATTTGTAAAATAAACTTTCAACTCATAAAAAATAGCTACCGAAAGAATATAGTTTAATTCTATGGCAATCTCAACAATTCTCTATTTAGCGTAACTTATGCTTGCGAGTTGTAATAATTGTTGTGGAAAAAAATCTTCCAAGGATCCTCATCCACGTTGTTGGGCATGCATGCAGATTTGCTCTCCAAACTTTAAATGTAATTTTTGTGCGCCTCTCTCTCCAGCGAGTTTTGCAAATTATAGACAGGTCATTCACAAACATATTTTGTAGCAGTCCTGTTGAGTGGAGAGGAGATGTCACAATTGCTAGAGGTTAGTGACGGACATACTTCTGTCATTACTATGCAGCCGTTATCTGTGGGGTGGGTAAAAGGGACACCATTTGGTCACATCCTATATCGATTCCAGGATACGGGAATGATTAGGTAATTGGAAGAGGACTTCTCCAAGCTTACACTTGCTCCGTCATTTAAGCCACCCAAGTTTATGAAGGATGATTTTCCAATCCATGCGTTTGCGGTCGCAGACCAAGCTCATATTTTGGATGAAGACATACAAAAGATGACAGGCTCGTCAAGGCCAACCACCCTTAAGGTTCAAGATACTAGATTTGCGTTCATGGAAACGGAAATCATGTGTGTACTGAAACCTTTGTCAGCACTAGCGTCGTCAACGTGTGCAGTGGATCAGAGGATAACCCTAACCGATTAGATCATTTCAAAACTATAGTGGATTTCCACACGCAGACTTGGTTATTAAGCGCTTTCCAACTGGGACTGTGTTCAAGCACAGGCTGCTATGTCAATCTTGGTCATCTACTTCCCTGTTCAATGAACAGATTGCAGACACACACGCCAAAGTTAGAAGTTATGCTAGGGATGAGACCGTGCACATCTCTCATAATCTGTCCCAGCGGGACCGTCTTAAATACCAAGGCAGGGGAGGTGATAAGAGGGTGTTGGACCGTAACGTTGGGTCGTCCCAGTTGTTGATTCCCATTTGGGCGGGATACTGAATCTGTTCTGGAAAAACTGGACCTTTCTCTAGAAAGGACCGTCTAGACGTAGAGGTAACCCCACCGTTGACCACAGCTCCTCAGCCTTGGAAATATCCAAGAAAGCAACATCTGCTATCAAAATCCAACATAGCCATACTGTTGGTGAAGAGAGCTGTAGCGATTGTTCACACCCCAGATGTTACACCGGGGTTTTGTTCTCACATCTTTCTGGTACCCAAGAAGGACTCAAGACAAGATGAGAATGATCCACAATCTCTACGTGTTGAATGAACATTATCTGAAGCATCCACCTTATATCTGCCTCACCACTTTGCGACTGCTCAGAACCAGCATAAAGGCGTTCGATTCCTTGATCAGTCTCGACCTGCAGGATGCCTACCTGCATATACCCATCAATCCCTCCAACCACAGGTTCCTCAGGTTCCAGTTCAATTGGGTTCACTACCAATGGGCAGTTCTCCCATTTAGCATTTCACTGGTCCCGTGGCTATTTACACGAATAATGAAGCCAATAACTGTGTTTCTACATCTGAGGAACATTTGGTTCGTGTTGTATATAGACGACTGTCTCCTGTGCCATCAACATATACCGACGTTAGTACGCCATCCAAAATTTACCGGAGCAGAACTCGAAAACTGTTAAATTTTTCTTCATCAAACTTTGCATTTATATCACTTAAGTGGTGAAGTTGTGCCTTTTGCTATTTTAAAATTTTCCATTTTTTTTATTTTCCAATTTTCATGAAAGCATGCTGGACATAGGCTCACTATGTGAGTGATGTTAGTTTCCGAAGCAGAACTCAAAAACTGTTGAATATTTCTCCATGTTACTTTTCATAGGTTTAAACTACATACTGAACTGGTGCCTTTTGCTATTTAGGAATTTTAGAATTTTTCATTGTTTACGTTTCAATGGCAACAAGTTGGACTTAGGTTCTATAAGGGTGGTGTTCGTTTCCGGAACGTAACTCAAAAACCGTTAAATACTTTCTTACAAAACTTTGCATGTCTACAAGGCACATACCGAACTGGTGCCCTTTGCTATTTAGGAATTCTTTTATTTATTTTTTTTTACATTTCCATTGCAACAAGTTGGACTTAGTTGGTTCTATAGGGTAGAGTTCGTTTCCGGAGCATAACTCAAAACCCATTCAAAACTTTCTAACAAAACTTTGCATGGCTATCAGACTCATGCAGAACTGGTGCTTTTTGCTATTTAGGAATTTTAGAATTACATTAAGTAATATGTTCCCATTGTTATACCGAGGCTGTTGTCCCCCACAACTGCTCTTATAGCGAAATCTTCCACAGAGATCTCAATCACCTCATGCAGCACGTGCGTAGCCACCTAGCTGCCATGTGACACCCTTCACTCTTGTCTCTTCGCTTGCCATAGCAAGACGTGTAAATCGACTGCTCTACTGCGTTTCTACAGCTTTCCGCCTCCTGCCTATCCTTGGTGATATTTATTACTGTTTCTTATCCTAAGTAAACTGTAAATTATGTGGCGTTCGTTATACGGCGCTTAGAAAACTTTCGCACCTTTTTTTCGCTACTAACGGGGTGTGGCGTCGGCACTTTGTGTCTTCCGTCCACCTTTAGTGGTATATCATGGGGTTGTTTTGCATCACCTATTAATATATGTATCTGTATATGTTATATGTATTTTATGTATTCGCTATTATCGTTTGTTTTTGTCTACGTTTGTGAATATGTTTGGTGTGTGTGTTGTAACCATGTTTTTGTTGAACAATGTCTGACATGGAGATGGATCTTTTGTCCAGCACCCCAGCTACTCCTGTTAACAGGCGCTGTGGCTCCTGTCAGAAGTTTTTGTCTTCCCGGGATCCTCACGATCGTTGCCCTTGCCCGGTGCACCCTGTGCGAGGGTCTGGGGCCGGAGGATTTTGCGCGATACAGGCGCTACGTGCGCTCAGCTATCACCCCTGAGGTGGCCGGTTTGTCTGGTAGGGCGCCCATTGCGGGCACTACCTCCTTGGCGGCGGATCCCTTGGCGGCCCTTGGGCTGTCCGGGGATTCTGTCGTGGCTTTGTTGTCTCAACTGGTGGACTCCAAACTGGCGTACTTATCTCAGGCGAGTCCGCCAACAAGGCTTTTCCCGCGTCAACTTTGTTACGCGGGATCAAGCCGTCTTCGGAGAAAGCCTTCGCGGCGGCCTCCTGTTGGGGACTCCCGTTACCTCCTCCCTCGTGGAGAAAGGTTTCGTTCCCGGTGCATGACCTGGCCTTCCCCGAGGCAGGTCCCCCTGGGAGGCCCATGGGGAGAGGTTGGGTGTCCATGCCCCACCTGCTGCTACAGTCACTCAAGCGACTTTACAGCAAATGGACACCCTCTCACGGCACTCCATGCTCGCTATGTCACATGGCGACACCCACTTTCCCCACGGACTGAGACCAGCTCATTTATAATCGGTTTGAATACATTGCCTTGAGTACATTGCCGGGGCTTCGGCCTTTCTTTCCGGCACGTGCCATTTCTTGAGGCGGCAAGCGTACCTTGCCGCCTCTGGGTTGGACGCGGCCAACCAAGAGGTGTTACTTTCACAGCCTTCGTCTGTGCAGACCCTGTTTAATAATCGGATTCCTGGTGTTCTAAAAGAACAGCAGTCTGCTTCGTCTGCCGCGGCATACGTTGGATCTGGTTGGGTCTGTGCACCGGGGTGGTGCCCCTAAACGGAGTGCCCCTCAGGATGCTGCGGACGGGAAGTCCAAGGGGTCGGTGTCTTCTTCCTCCCGGAAGAGGTCCTGCCCTGAGGGCCCCGGTAAGGGCAACATGCCGCCCTTTCGGGGGAAGAAGGGACACTGCGGGAAGCCTAAGCCGTCTCGGGACGGTAAGGGCTCCTCCAAATGACTCTCACTTGCAAGGTTCGTGTGCAAACAACGCCAGTTTCGGTTGGCCCGTCAGCGAACCCGAGTCATTCAGCCCTGGACAGTTGCGCCTGCCACAGCCTGTCAGGCCTCCCTTCCCTTCCCTTGTCGGAGCCAGACTCCAGACTTATTGGGAGAATTGGGAACAAGTGTTCGAAGACCCGTGGGTGGTCAACACGGTCTGGTACGGCTATCGGCTAGATCTCAAAGCGGATCCGTTGGCAGGTTTCTATTCGGAAGCCGATCTTCCCATCCTCGCCGATGCCATCGGCAGGTTGGTGGAGAAGAGGGCGGTATGGGAGTTAGCTCTACGAGAAATAACACCGGGGTTTTACTCCAGGATATATCTCGTTCCAAAGAAGGACAGTGCCGAACTCAGAATGATTCACAATCTGAAATCGTTCAACGAGTTTTACCTGCACAAGCCGGTGAAGTTCAGAATGTTGACCTGATCGACCTGAAGGATGCTTATCTGCATGTTCCGATTCACTCGGACCATCACAAGTATCTCAGGTTTGTCTTTCAAGGCAGGCACTACGAGTGGGTTGCACTCCCATTCGGCCTTTCGTCCGCTCCCTGGCTATTCACCCGGTTAACCACCCCCATAGTGGGGTTCCTCCACAGGAGAGGTGTCAGGTACTTCGCGTACCTGGACGACTCGCTAGTGGCCAATCTAATGACGGACACGCTGTCCCGCCAACTCGATTTCGTACTTTGGCTCTTGGAGCAATTGGGGTGGATTGTCAATCTCCCCAAGAGCGAGTTAACCCCCTCACAGAACTTGAAGTTCATCGGAGGTCGGTTCTACACGGTGACCCATCGCCTCTTTGTCCCCCCAGACCGGTGGCACAAGATTCAGGCAATGATTGCCAAAGTCTTAGCGGTGCAACAGACTGTTCACTTTTGGGAACAGCTGTTAGGGCTACTTGTGTCAGCCCAGGACTGCACTGATCGGGGTCGTCTCTGCCCGCTGCAACGGTTTCTAATCCAGTTGTTAGCACAGGAGGAGAACAGTGCGACCATGGCCCCCCCGGATCGGCTCCGACCGCATCTGGAGTGGTGGATGGTCCCTTGCAACTTCAACAGACGCCTCTCTAGTGTGCTGGGGCCCCCATCTAGAGGGGGAGGGGAGCTCGGGGCTGTGGTGCGTAGACGAACTAGGTCTTCACATCAATTGCCTCGAGTTCAAGGCAGTGTTAAACGCAGTCAATCACTGGAAGCATCGTCTCGTCGACGCCCGGCTCATGCGACCGACAACCTGACGGTAGTGTCCTATGCTTCCCAAGGTGATACAAAAGCTCAAGAAGACAAGGAATCTTGCTCTGACTTTGGTCCTGCCCTGGTGGCTGTCGAGAGGGTGGTTCGTCGAGCTCAGAAGTTAAGCAGAAGACAATCCACTACCCCTCCCACAGTGGTTCAACCTACTCACCCACCTTCACAGCAAAGTGACTCATCTAATAAGGTTTCGTCTGCATGCTTGGTTCATCTTAAAAAGGCGTTATGTGCGAAGGGCTATTCGGCGCGGGCAGCTAGTGCTATAGTTTTAGCTCATTGTCCCTCCACCAGAGTATTTTACGATGACAAGTTGGGATCGTTTGAGACGTTTTTCAAGGCAAAAAAAAAAGATCCAATAACTGCATCACCACAATTCCTAGATGAATACCACCTACATTTGCGTACAAAGAAACCCTTGAAAGCTAGCACCATTACTACGTATTTGGAAGCACTTAACTCAGTGTTGTCGTTTAAGAAAAATCGAAAATGACCAAGGTCCCGGAACTACAGGCTCCACTCATTCAGGCTTGAGGATCAGAAGGCCAAGTTTCGTCCCCCTGCTTGGGACTTAAACGTGGTACCTCGAGGTTTGCGAGGACCCCCTTTGACCCCCTCTATGCATCCTCATTTTATGACCTCACCAAGAAAATAATCTTTTTCTTGGCATTAACCACGGCGGCATGGGTGAGCAAGCTACATGCAATCGACATCACCTTTGTCTGTTTTGAGCATGCTCTACACGGAGTGGCACATCTCAGGTTGTGCTTGGTTGTTGGTTGGTTTGTTGTTTAACGCCGCACTCAGCAATATTCCAGCTATATGACGGCGGTCTGTAAATAATCGAGTCTGGACCAGACAATCCAGTGATTAATATCATGAGCATCGATCCACGCAATTGGGATTGATGACATGCATCAACCAAGTCGGTGAGCCTGACCACCCGATCCCGTTAGTCGCCTTTTACGACAAGCATAGTCACCTTTTACGGCAAGCATGGGTTGCTGAAGACCTATTCTAACCCGGAATCTTCACAGGTCAGGTTGTGCTTGGATTTAATAGCAAAATGTTCATTTATCAGGCCAACCCGATCGTCCATTCACGCTCCCACCAATATCGTCGATTGTGGGAGTCGAAGATGAGGGTGAACTTCTATTCATCCCCTGTTCCCAAACTAGGCGTGGCTTGAGGAATCGGTTATTTATGCCTGTATCTCCTATGTCCAAGACCAAATTTATTCGCAACACCATATCTCAATGATTACGCACAGTCATCCTTCAGGCTTATGACATCGCCAAACTTGATCCGCCAATATTATTGACAAACATCAGTTGTTGTTTTGGTATGTGAATTATTGACCGTCCGATACAGATGCATTAAGGAGTAATGCAGGATAAATAAAAGATGTATAGCATTTTTGAGCTCGGGGGACAGGCAGTGAAGTGAGGAAGGTGACTTGTCATCAACATCACATTGACAGTAGAGGTGGTCAGTGTAAAAAGCAGGAGTGGGACTTTGAAACAACTTTATTTCTTCAGCCAAGACCATCGCCATACACTGTCTTTTTGTTGTCGTAAGGTAAGCAGTGAAATGCATTAAGGAGTTATGCAGGATAAGTATACAAATGTAAAAAATATTTAGATTTTACTAACTTTATACCTTAAATATCAAAGTATTTCCCAATTACCTCAGTTTGGCATCCCTGCTAATGTGTGCCAGAATGTATAATCATGATTTTGAACCCCAATATTATTATTATTATGTTTGGTTTGTCTGCACCATACAAAACCAGTCAGTCAGTCATGCCAATGGGGATTACTATTTTGTTCTTCAAATCACTCATTTTAGACCCCAATTGTGCCTCACTGCATCTATTTGGGGTTGACACCTCTAAATGTAGCATGACCAGTGAACACATGAATCCTTGCCGGACTACTTGAGAAGCATCAGTTGATGTGTTGTTGCAGGTGAAGCTGGAGGATGACCTGCACAGCTTGAAAGGAAAGGTCCAGTCTCTGCAGGTCGACCTAGACAACAGTGAAGCAGTGCAGAGAGACTTTGTCAAACTCTCACAGTCTTTGCAGGTCTGTGTTATCCATCATTCGTCAAAAGTCACATAATAGACACTTGTAACTTAGGTCCTGGGTAACTGGTGATGTTTCTTTACACAAATTGATCCAGTAATCCAGCAGTTTCTTTCAGGCAAAATGACTATGGATATGTAGTGGTAAGCCAGGGTAAGTTGAGCTGTAACCTGACAATTAACCCTGGATGACTGTATGAGGTCCGCCCACTGACGCGTACCATTGTGAAGAAAGGGGTAGCGGTTGGTCTGCCACAAGTACTACGATACGTATGTGCATGTCTCAGCTAAGAATCCTGGTATCGACTTGTCACATTGACTTCTTAATAGTCTTATGAGCAACACTTGTGTCCATGGGAGGGTAGTCAATTTCATCGCCATGACTTGCACATGCTCAACATGTGTACACCCTCTCTACCTGTAACAAACCAAATATGTTTGCCCAACTTCTGTGCAGCGCCTACTTGTCTCAAACGCGTTTTGTGATTTGGTTCAACTTATCCTGGATTACCAGTAGTTGATATAGATCTATTTAGGAAAGTCATCATGTAGCTTGGTAACAAAAGCACTAAATGTTTGACAACAATTAACAGAGTGTTTATCATTTTGATTGGATTCTGTTTGGAAAAATATTAATGAAATTTTCTTTTCTATTTGTTTATTTGAATGGTTATCTGCATAATCATTGTGACACATTTCTGGTGAGTTGTCGACACACATAAATTTCATGATTTCATATTTGACATGATCTTCTTCTGTGCACCATAGAACTTGTCTGAGTTGCCTACAGCTCCAGCAACACATCTGTGCAGCTGCAGTATGTTTCATCCTTTGTGAGCCCGGATCAATTTTAGTACATATGTCCTCAGATTCAGCTGGAGAAGATTCGGCAGGCAGAGAATGAAGTGAGGTGGCAACATGAAGAAGATGTGGAAGATTGCAATAACTGTAAACAAAATTTCAGTGTCACTCGCAGGAAGGTAAACAACTTTACGTTTGGAGTCATTGAAAAATTTATTAATAAGCATTTTCTCAATAGAGGCTTTTGTGAGGAGACATGCACCTTTGTCATAGACCTAAACCTCTTGATAGGCATTATGAAGTTAGTAGTTTATGGAGATAAACCTTTTATTGACATCACTTTCCTTGACATTTAGCTGACATTATAACTGAAATGTTCTATTGTTCAAAGCACTGTTCATTCAACTCACTCAAGCACTCACTCATTCACTCCTGTCCCTTCTGTTGCAGCATCACTGTCGGCACTGTGGAAAGATATTTTGTAACGAGTGTACATCCAAGACAGTGCACAGCGGGCCCAACTTCAAACCTTCCAAAGTATGTGATGTCTGTCATACAATACTGGTGAAAGATGCCACACCCTACTTCAGTACAGAACCCCCGGCGACACCCGACTAGGGACATGTTTTAGCCTGTCTTACTTGATGTGGAGAAGACCATTGCTCTATCAGAGTCACAACTGTACCATTACATTGTCTTACAGGATAGGGGCCACTGGTGGCCCAGTCACCTAAGGCACCACATTGGCCATGCAGAGTTGCCTTCCTTAGCCATGCTAGAATGTGATCATTGTGGGTTAGAATGCCAGATTTGCCCAGATTATGATTCTTGTCAGCACTATGCCTGTGCAGGTGGGTTTCTCCAAAGTGATAAACTTCTAAGATTTGAATCACTTTGGACTTGCCTACCACATCAAGCTGTTACTCAGAGCAGTCTTATACCAAACTCATGCACTCACTCCTACGGGATAGGATGCACAGGGATACACAGGGATATACCTTACCCCAAGAATCTAGCAGACTTTGGATTCAGCAGCTGACATGGATACCCTTACCCCAATAATCTAGCAGACTTTGGGGCCGCTGCTGAGACAGGGATAGACCTTACCCCCAATAATCTAGCAGACTTTGGGGTTGGAGGCCGAGACAGCCACAGACGTTCCCCCGAGAATCTAGTTCACTTTGGGGTCAGTGGCTGAGACAGGGATAGGCCTTACCCCAATAATCTAGCAGACTTTGGGGTTGGAGGCCGAGACAGCCACAGACGTTCCCCCGAGAATCTAGTACACTTTGGGGTCGGGGGCTGAGACAGCCACAGACGTTCCCCCAAGAATCTAGTACACTTTGGGGTCAGGGGCTGAGACAGCCACAGATGTTCCCCGAGAATCTAGTACACTTTGGGGTCGGGGGCTGAGACAGCCACAGACGTTCCCCCAAGAATCTAGTACACTTTGGGGTCGGGGGCTGAGACTGCCACAGATGTTCCCCAAGAATCTAGTACACTTTGGGGTCGGGGGCTGAGACTGCCACAGACCTTCCCCCGAGAATCTAGTACACTTTGGGGTCGGGGGCTGAGACAGCCACAGACGTTCCCCCGAGAATCTAGTACACTTTGGGGTCGGGGGCTGAGACAGCCACAGACGTTCCCCCGAGAATCTAGTACACTTTGGGGTCGGGGGCTGAGACAGCCACAGACGTTCCCCCGAGAATCTAGTACACTTTGGGGTCGGGGGCTGAGACAGGGATAGGCCTTACCCCAATAATCTAGTACACTTTGGGGTCGGGGGCTGAGACAGCCACAGACGTTCCCCCGAGAATCTAGTACACTTTGGGGTCAGGGGCTGAGACAGCCACAGGCCTTCCCTCGAGAATCTAGTACACTTTGGGGTCAGGGGCTGAGACTGCCACAGACCTTCCTCCGAGAATCTAGTACACTTTGGGGTCGGGGGCTGAAATAGGGCATTTGTCTTCTGGAAGCAGAGGGGCATTATCAGGAGCAGTCTCAGTGTAATAGACATCTTTGGCGAGAATGTCTTTTTTGAATATTTTGACATGTTTCCACTGTTTGAGCTAGTGGTTATCCATTGGAGTTTTTGTTACTTTTGAGTGTAGGACAGTGGTACACCTTGCCAAAGACCCAAGTTCTATTCTTTGAGTACTTATGCTTGAAGACTGTTGTCTGCAGTTCCATCTTAGTAAGTAAAGCCTCTAATAATGAAAGATATGATCTGACATAACAGAAGTCGAATGTCTGTAAGCTGTGTGTCTAGCAGACCTACCCCGAATATGGTGACCAGACCCCCTCCTGTGTCTGCAACAAGCATAAGATCGGACATTGTGTAGCTAGTGCCTCCTAGTAGCAGTGTGTGTATGAATATGTGTTTACAGGCAGGCTGTACAATATGTGAAGCATTCTTAAGGGTGAAATCTTGCTGGCCAAGATGGTAGGACCTTAAATGGCAAATAACATTTTCATGATTTGTCTATAACTGGCATGTGCTTAACAAGTTATGAAGAACAGTTATGCCAGCTCTGTGCAAGTGGGTCCCCAGTACCCCCCTTGTCCTGTGATCTGACAACATGGCAAGCACTGACTGGATTGTGCTCATGCTATCAACTGCTGGTTTGTCTGGTCCAGACTTGATGACAAAGTCCAAGGTGATATAGCTGTAATACATGCCGACTTCACATGCATCAACACTGGTGGACTCTCTACCAGCTCCTACAGTAATGGCTCGCAACTTGGTCCAGTCTCAGAACCAGCTCTCTGTGTTGGTCAGTTCAAGAAAATGTTATACTGACCCTGATATGACCTTGTACTCTCCACCTACTGTGATCTGTTATTTGTGTATATTTGTGTAAATAGCCCTCGCTCCTGTACATGCTCTGTGGACTTTTGTATATGGTCAGCTGTTGTTGTGATCGAGAACCACGCTTGCCGTTCAGTCAATGTAACCATCAAGTCATTGTCAGTACTTCATGAGTTTGTGCAATCCTCCATCACCCTTGAACATGTTCCACCAATAAACCAAGCCACCGCCTGCTTCCAGCAACATGGAGATCAGCTAAGATACTAAGACCAGAGAACTCTTCAATATCAAAGCTTCACGCAAAATTCCATGAGGGCTCATTTGACTTCCTGGTGAGTTGTACACTGACCTGAAGTAGACATGCATCACTAGGACACTGCGCATCTGTATTCAGACCTGATGGAGGACTGTGATGTTTGTAAACCTGTATTGATCATGCATCCAAGACAGAGGAAATGTTTCTTAGATATCACGCTTTTAGTCCATAATGGCACATAGCGTCTTCACCTGTCAAACATTTCAGTGATTATTTGTGCTTCGAATATTAAAGTTGTTTGATCAGATTTTGAAAATGTGATACACGTGTTAAGTTGTATCTGAGTGAAGACAGTAAGTCATAATGTAGACTTGTAACATAGAGTTTCTTGTAGAGTAGTAGAGGTCACTCATTCATCGTAGTTTGGGCGGTTTTCATAACTTGATTTATGGATTGGTTTCTGATCTAAAATATGAAATAGATACCAAGTGAGTTACCTCCCTTGCTATGTCACGATTTTGAAGTTTATTCACTTACTAAAGTTTGTTATCAGAGTAGGAAGAAAAATGTCTGTTCTTAAATCTTTATTCCACATATGTGAAACTGTGAGGTCAGCAGATCCACAAACCAAGCAACTAGAAAACCTGCCGTAGTTACATTGGTGCAATTTGATTTTGTTGATTTTGAAGTTTGGTGCTTAACATACCCTACTGTGACCAGATGCTGTAAGTATTGTCTACTATCTCATCAGTGGCTAATCACATTGTGCTCTGTATACATTTGGTGATATTCTTGAATATTGTATCAGAGTTTAGTAAATTAGACAGCACATGCTCATCAACACAATGTTCATCTTAGCTCAGAAGTGATTCTTTATTACATGTCCAAACAGAACGGAAGGTTTGTGTGAGGTTGTGGCTGTCTGCCTGTCGACTGTCAACAGTCATTTTAAACATTTTGACATCCATGAAGAATGCTGAAGGGATCAAACTGTGATTGGAAAATAATTGATCAAAGAAATGGTGTGATGAAAGTTTATATTACAAGTTTCACTTTAATCCTGATCGATGTAGCGGCCATATTGAAAATGCTATGATTTACTTTGATCACTGATGTATTGATTGATTATTCATTGGTTGAAGTTTGATTTTTATTCCTTTTATATGTGTTCAGTATTATTAGAGAGAATTCCCCCAATTACTTGTTCATAACTTCATAACTTTTTTCTAAGCCAAGGATTATGTAGCCTTAATGTGTAATGACATCAATGTAGAACTTCCCAAAATCTTGTGTGACTGGATTTAGGCTTTGCAGATTGTGTTCCCCTAGCCATACCAGGAGCCACTAAAGATGGGTTTAGTTTAATCGTGAATGTGAACCTTCCACTTGTGCGTCAGTGTCCATGATTGTGGTTTTCACCAGCGTTGTCAGCATCTGCAAATTGCATAACATTTGAAAATCCGGGTTACAAATAGTCTTCAGCAACCCATGCTTGCCGTAAAAGGCATCAATCAGGATCAGGTGGTCAGACACACTGACCTGGTTGATGCATGTCATCGTATCCCAATTTGCGTAGATTGATGCTCATGATGTCAATCATGGGAATGTCTGGTCCAGACTTAATTATTTACAGACCGCCGTCATATAGCTGGAATATTGCTGAGTGCGGCATTAAACAACAAACACACAAACAAAAGCCTATCATTTGACTTTCTTTCCTCACTAAGCTGAGATGTAATACAACTTTTGAAGCACTGTAAAGCCAAACACACTCTCTCCCTCACTTCATAGGACATTTCTTCCTAATATGGTCCATAAAGCCATGATAAGTTACGTAGTTGATTGTAAATTATTACTTGATGGCCAGGACTGACAACTACATGATTTCATCATTTGCAGGTTGATTTAGACTACTTTTGTAAAGGGAGACTTCCCTAGGCTGATTATTGTCCTTTGAGTAAAGGCTTTTCTGCAGCTAGTTTAACCCTATTTGTTATGATAAGATGAATCTGAAGTCAACAAGTTATGATGTAATGTCTTGTTTCAAAGGTAGCTTTATGTGTTACGACTGACGCATGTTTTTCACAGTTTCTGATTAGAGTGGTTAGTTTCTTCATCATTTATTTCTTTTTAATATTTTACAAATATTTGTTAACAGGAAAAATGAAACATGAAAACATATGGTCAGGGTTGATTTGGGGTAAATTTCCTGAATAAAATAATGAAACAGTGAAATTATTAAAGAAGCTTATTTTGCAGTGAAACAGTATTTCTAAATGTATCTGGTGGTACATTGGTCATTTTTACAGGGGTAGGGGTTCCAGAGGTGTTTGATGCACTACTGTACTGAGAATAACGACCCTCGCCTAATGCTTGTCATTTGTTCTATTGTTGGAAGCCCTTCCCATGTCATTGTACATTTTATTTCATGACCTTCCCTGAATAGACAAAATGCAAAGTACTTAAATTACAATATGTTTTATTCATGCAATGTTCATTTTTTGATGACCCTCCACAAATATGTGTACTATTTTTTGTGACCCTCCCCAGATTCCCTCTGACCCACCAACCCCAGTAGTAAATGGCCCTCAGTAGAGAAAAGAACACTTTTTTATCTGGCTCAAACATATTGACCCATCTATTTTCCATTTGTAATGACTGTAACTGGTAGTGTGTTAAACAGAATAAGTATCAGCAATGTGTTTACAGGTGCACAAACCATCACCTATTCTTCAAGGTACAGGCATTTTTATGTCGAATCTTCTTTCCAGAACTTTATGGTTTATGCGTGGCAGGGCTGTAGGGTGGTGAAGTTAAAAAGAATGTTATGAACAATAATGTGTTTTACATCTATGTATATTTTGGGTTTGTAAGTGTTTTCAGTTCTGTTTTTACCAACTACCCAATCAGGTTGTAAATGTCTGAAGTGGGTCGGCAGTGAATGGGGGATGTATGAGTAGCTTCAGTATTATTTATTTCTGTACATACTAGATAGACTTCAACCTTCTCATTGATGTATACAAGAATATGCTCCTTTTGTACAATACTTTGGACAGAATTTGATATATGTATGGGAACTACGTAACTATGCTTATACACCTGGCATGTAGATGTCTTCACACCTGGCCTGTGGATGTCTTCACACCTGGCCTGTGGATGTCTTCACACCTGGCCTGTGGATGTCTTCACACCTAGCCTGTGGATGTCTTCACACCTGGCCTGTGGATGTCTTCACACCTAGCCTGTGGATGTCTTCACACCTGGCCTGTGGATGTCTTCACTCCTGGCCTGTGGATGTCTTCACACCTAGCCTGTGGATGTCTTCACACCTGGCATGTGGATGTCTTCACACCCGGCAAGCAGATGTCTTCACACCTAGCCTGTGGATGTCTTCACACCTTGCCTGTGGATGACTTCACACCTGGCCTGTGGATGTCTTCACACCTGGCCTGTGCATGTCTTCACACCTGGCCTGTGGATGTCTTCACACCTGGCAAGCAGATGTCTTCACACCTAGCCTGTGGATGTCTTCACACCTTGCCTGTGGATGTCTTCACACCTGGCCTGTGGATGTCTTCACACCTGGCCTGTGGATGTCTTCACACCTGGCCTGTGGATGTCTTCACACCTGGCCTGTGCATGTCTTCACACCTGGCCTGTGGATGTCTTCACACCTGGCCTGTGGATGTCTTCACACCTGGCCTGTGCATGTCTTCACACCTGGCCTGTGGATGTCTTCACACCTGGCAAGCAGATGTCTTCACACCTAGCCTGTGGATGTCTTCACACCTGGCAAGCAGATGTCTTCACACCTAGCCTGTGGATGTCTTCACACCTTGCCTGTGGATGTCTTCACACCTGGCCTGTGGATGTCTTCACACCTGGCCTGTGGATGTCTTCACACCTGGCATGTGGATGTCTTCACACCCGGCAAGCAGATGTCTTCACACCTGGCAAGCAGATGTCTTCGAACCTGGCAAGCAAATGTCTTCACTCCTGGCCTGTGGATGTCTTCACACCTGGCCTGTGCATGTCTTCACACCTGGCCTGTGGATGTCTTCACACCTGGCCTGTGGATGTCTTCACACCTGGCCTGTGGATGTCTTCACACCTAGCCTGTGCATGTCTTCACACCTGGCCTGTGGATGTCTTCACACCTGGCATGCGGATGTCTTCACACCTGGCATGCGGATGGTGTATTGTATTGTTGATGCATATTGCTTTTGATAAGTTAGTGTTCCATCATTCGTTTATTGTTTCAAGTAACTATTTGTTATCCTCAACAATGTAACCCTTTAAGTCTGCTTTCTGTCGTGTTCAGTTCCAGGATGTGGCACTCTACTGAAGCACTACATGGTGTAGAAAGCTTCAATGACACACAAGCATTCATTCCATTAACTGTAACTATGGTAACATGCATTCTAAATCCAAAACACTTTTTTTTCTTCAAATTGTTTTTGTTTAAAGAAACAGAACCAAGATTTTATTTGACCTACCTGTCAGGTGAACAGATTTGAATGTGTTTATTGCTGCAGTTTGCATACTACACCTACAATGAGGAACTGCCCAGGGCCCGTCAGGAATCAGGGGACTTCTGCCAAGGTTAGGACAAGGACTGGTTCAATTTCATTCTTCATTCAGATTGGGCGGTGGGGTAGCCTTCGCTCGTCATGCTGAAAACCTGGGTTCGATTCCCTGCATGGTTACAATGTATGAAACCCATTTCTGATGTCCATAGCCGTGATATTGCTGGAATATTGCTTAAACCATGTTAAACCACACCGACTCACTCACTCACTTCAAACAGATGAGTTTTACCAACATCTAAGATCTGTACAACATTGACCTTTTCCTATACTGATATGCTATGACTTATCCTCACTCCACACTTCACTATATCTGTCTAGAACTGATAAAACAGACAAATGCTTTCTTACTTTGCAAAGAGTTCTGATATTTAACCACAAAGCTGCATTCCCAATACGGAAGAGAGTATGTTGTTTTTGTTTAGCACTGCAGGAAGAGCTGAACTCCTGTACAGTTTCACATGTTCCCTATACATCGGCTTACTTCCTCATCACTCATGGTTCTAAAAGGTATTGGATCAATGGCTATGGTTGAATACTATTAGGTGGTTGAAAGGGTTGTACTTGATGGTCTTTACAGGACATAAACACTTTTCGCTTGTCAGTTGAGGGGACCTGGTGTATCAGAATGTTCGCATCAAGTTCAAAATGAGGATTGTGAGTAATATTTCATTTTGATGTATTTGTTAGAAGAGGATATGTGTCACCAAATTGTATAAGGCGATGCAATTTGCTATGCAGAGTTGCATCCCTTTGCTACGTCAGAAACCTATGATCATGGTTTCAAATTCCAGACTGGACTGGAGCTTTTCTAGGTTTCTGTCAGTCCTATACCTGTGATCTCAGCTCAGTGCATCACGTTCCTCCCACATGAAGCTGACATGCCATGATAAAACTGAAATCCTGTTCAGGTCAAACTTGCTCACTCACTCTTAGTAAACTATTGATTTGAAGTGAGGTCTGAGTGTTAAGTGGTGGTGGTAACCTACCTGGATGTATTCGCTGCACTGTGGTCTTGGCATGAGTTGGCTGATGGATCTGTCTGTCATTGGTTGGATTCCATCATGATCCTTGGTTTGCCAGCACCACACCCATGACCAAGTGGTAAACTTCTCTGACCTGTGTCTGTTTGGACCATATGCCCACATTAATCTGACAGCGATATAACTATTCACTTTGTGTCAAACCAGTCTTGCTCACATAGGGTGCAATTTGAATGCAGCAATAAAACAAGAAAAATTTGCTTTTGCCAAACTATTTTATCACTCCTATCAACATTACTGACTTAATTGCAAGAATAAGCATCTCTGCTTTGACTTAAATATGATGTGATCATTACTATCTAATGTCTGTCTACAACACTAGCCCTCTGGAAGGCTCACACCCCGTTTCAGCTGCTGCTCCAGTTGACCTATTGTACAACGTAGGGTTATGTTTAACATGTGCCTCAACTTCTGGGAAGAGTTAGGGGTAATCGTGTAAGAACATGTGATCTCCAAAGAGAAGAAGTGCAAAGCAGATCTGACCTAGTTGCTGTGTCTGGTACACTTGCCCCACTGAGGAGAGAAATGGACATGGTGATGTCACTGATGCCACTGGGTCCAGGGCATTTATCACAGCAGAATGGAGATATGATACACTCCAAAATCAAAGATTTTCTCAAAGTGATGTCAAACCTTACTGACTGAACAAAGTGACATGTTGAACATAGCCCTGGTAGCCATGCTGTGGGGTGTGATCATGGCCCCTTGCTAGTAGTGATGTTATCATCGATGTTAGATATACATGTACTGCATTTATTTATAATTTATTTCTTCATGGACAATTGTTGTTTTAGCCACCTTGCTTTCTGAAGTCTTTCAATTCAACATGCAATGTTGATTTTATGAACTTGTTGACAATAACATATTGCAGTGACCGTGTTTGCCACACATAGTTCACTTTTACTAGTTGTCCCTATCATCCCTGTGTTGAGGAAATAGCAAGATTGTCATGTACAGGTACAAATGTAGTCTCTCAATTCTGTGGACAAATAGCAGTTGTAGAGAAAGTAGTGATTTGAGTAGCTCTCTGTTCTGCTACGTGTTCTTGACACTGTTAGTGTGACCATCAACCTGTGTTTGAATATCACACCATGGTCTGTGAATAAAACTATTACAATCTCTATGTGTTTGCCAGCTTCTTTGTTAGAGACCAGTCAATGATTAGAAACAGATGAAATTGAGTTTGGTGACCTACACACTGTAACCTGTTATTGGTCAGTAACTTTGTATGTACAAATTATCTTCTGCAAGCTTTATGAGACCCCAGTATCTGTCTGAAGAGAAATATTCACCAACTTCTAACTTTGGAAACCGTTTAGGTATATGTTTTTGAAATAATCTTCCAAAAAATATAATCAGCACAGACTTGTTTAAAAAAATATGAGAAATGTTGGTTTAAATTTATTCGCAGTTTTACATCTTAAACCATCTTCACCAACATCAACACCTTCTGGTGGCTGAAAACATCAACACCTGTTGGGTGATAATGTCAACACCTCCCATGTGATAACATCAACACCTAATGCTCGGTGATAACATCGACACCTACTGGATGATATTATAAACACATGTTGGGTAAAAATGCCAACTGCTGTCAGGTGATAACATCAACACCTACTGGTGGCTGAAAACATCAACAACTGTTGGGTTATAATGTCAACACCTCCCATGTGATAACATCAACACCTAATGCTTGGTGATAACATCGACACCTGCTGGGTGATATTATAAACACATGTTGGGTAAAAATGCCAACTGCTGTCAGATGATAACACCAACACCAATTTTCATATGATAACACTGACACCTGCAGATAACCTTTAACGTCAACTGTCATATGATCACATCGACACCTTCAGATAACATTGACACAGTCATATGACATCAACACCTGCAGATAACAACAACACTAAATGTCATTGCAGGACATCAACACAAATACTTTTGAATTTCTCTCATGACCTCTCATGTGGGGAATGGAAAATGGGTCTTAGCCTTAAGAAGCGAACACTTTAACCACTTAGCTACTCCACACTGTCATAGGGCATAGAAGTACCAATGCAGCTAACAGATGGTAGATCATGGGTGGCCCAGTTATCTGAGGCGCTGCAATTCACTGTGCAGAGTTGCATCCCTTGGTCATGCCAGAAACCTTTGGTCCTGGGTTCGAATCCCGATTTGCCCCGATTATGTTTCTAGGTTTGTCAGTACAATACTGGTTCTCGTGGGTTTCACCAAAGTGGTAAATCATGGGTGGTAGATCATGGGTGGCCCAGTTATCTGAGGCGCTGCAATTCACTGTGCAGAGTTGCATCCCTTGGTCATGCCAGAAACCTTTGGTCCTGGGTTCGAATCCCGATTTGCCCCGATTATGTTTCTAGGTTTGTCAGTACAATACTGGTTCTCGTGGGTTTCACCAAAGTGGTAAACGTATGAGACCTGCGTCACTATGGGCTTTTCTTCCACATTAAGCTGACAGGTCGTTATATAACTGGAATACTGTTCAAAGCAGGCGTTAAACCCAATTCACTTTCTGACTGATGGTGTAACTATGCTGTTCAAGGCTACTCTCATCATCTGACTCCCAGACTTGTCAGGGTTGGGGTTGTTTATCTCCCACCATCGCGCTCGCGCTCATGGGTTTCACCAATCAGATCAACCAGGTTCGTTGCCCTGGGCTTTGCTCACGTGGGTCAGAACGAAAACAACAAAAATGCAAAGGCTTTAACCCAAACTCACTCACTCACTCACTCGCCAATCAGTTTAGCGCACAGGCACTGGGTGAACATTGTGACTAGCACTAGCACCATGCATGGGACTTTATCTTTCTCACAATGCGCGTGGTTATGAAATGAATTAATCATCATCAACATTTACAGCAGTGTGTATGAAAGGGACTGGTCATGTATCATTAGGAGAGGAGAAAAATTAAAGTGTGTGCGTGCGTACGTGCATGCATGCGTGTCGTCCACTCAAAGATTCCTGCTTTTCACATGGTGTGCCATCGCGTGAGATCTGATGGGTAGGGATTCGGGAATTAAGGCCGTAAGTGCAACAGACGCAACGACAATTCAGCTCTCCTATTGTCAATACGTGAAGCGTTCAGTACACCTCACATGTCTTTATTAGTCCCATAGATGTGCGCTGATGTAACCCCTTGAGGGAGACTCGAGACACGTGCACATGAATTAGGTACTGTGTTGAAACTTGTAATTGTTTTCTGGCACCATCGAATATCCAGGGTCTCCTTTCTATTGTGACATATATTCTATAGCCATTCGCTACGATTGCTTCTTTTTGAGCACACGATTCGAATGACCCGCGAAGATCCGGGTTAGAACAGATCTTCAGCAACCCATGCTTGTCGTAAAAGGCGACTATGCTTGTCGTAGCGGGATAGGGTGGTCGGGTTCGCTGACCTGGTTGATGCATGTCATCGTTCCCAATTGCGTGGATCGATGCTCATGATATTAATCACTGGATTGTCTGGTCCAGACTCGATTATTTACAGACCGCCGTCATATAGCTGGAATATTGCTGAGTGCGGCGTTAAACAACAAACCAACCAACAACCAAGCACAACCTGAGATGTGCCACTCCGTGTAGAGCATGCTCAAAACAGACCAAGCTGATGTCATGATGTCAATCACTGGATTGTCTGGTCCAGACTCGATTAGTTACATACCGCCGTCATATAGCTGGAATACTGCTCAGTGTGGCGTTAAACAACAAACAAAGTGTCACACCCATCTCACTCACTCACACACTCAATGCAAGTGCACCCCGCTGGTCTTTATTCCGGTGGTGTAGTCTAGTGGTTAAAGCGTTTGCTCATCACGCCGAAGACCAGGGTTAGATTCCCCACATGGGTACCATGTGTGAAGCCGATTTGTGGTGCCCCCCCCCCCCCGTGATATTGCTGGCATATTTCTAAAAGCGGCATAAAACCATACTCACTCACTCACTCATTATTCCACTAGTTCCGCGCCAGTAAAATGTTCATATCTCAACCATCATAGTTGGCCTGTTCGCATACACCCAAAATATCTCATTCTGAACGAATATACATATAGTGTTGAGATGTGTTTGCGTGCAATGTTTCCAACGCGTGTTTGGTAGACAAGGCTGGGAACACATGATAGCATATCGTTTTACTGTGTCTAAAACTAAGTGATCCCTTATTTATTTCCATCAGTATATTTCTTATATACATATATATTTATACACTTGTATACTGACTTCAGATGTCATTAAATTACCAGCAAATCTGCAGACATACGAAGGTATATTTAATTGATTTAAATGACAAATATGCACGCATGTGTAGTTAGTTATATGTGCGTGCATGCGTAATATGAAAGTTAATGGGTTACGGAGTTAGTTAATGTTGTTTTATGCCACGGTCAGTAATATACCAGCTATAAGACGGCGACCAACTGAGCCACACGAACTTGTAGGGACCAGTTCCACGAGGTGGTGACCTGTCCCACTCAACCCAGGGGAAGCAGCACGGGTCGGGTAGACGGGCCTGTTTGTCACTGTGACACGCCATTCAACTCAACATATTGCCAGAACGCAGGAAACACGAGTCCGGCTGACAATCTGGGCGTGACTGTTCGAGATGTTGAAATTCATTCCTATTCATTCCTATTCATTCTATACAAGACATACATACCACTGCGTTGTTCAATACAGACGCCAGTCCTGACTGTAGCCGGAACACCAACCACTGCACAACACCCCCGTTCATTCTGTTTTACTATAGGCATTGTTAATTGTTCACTCACTTTGTTCAGTTATTGATCATCTTGTTCCTTCTTCCTGTTTAGTCACAGACAAGCTGTTTTTCATTTATTTATTTAGTTATCAATCATGCAATCAGTTAACATATTTACCTTCTACGGAACGATTCATGTATCTACCCGCAGTATTTTTTGTGTGTTTGTTTGTTGTTTAACGCCACACTGAGCAATAATCCAGCTGCGTGTATATGACGGCGGTCTGTAACTAATCGAGTCTGGGCCAGACAATAAAGTGATTGACATCATGAGCATCGATCTACGCAAATAGGATACGATGACATGCATCAACCAAGTCAGCGAGTCCGATCACCCGATCCCATTAGTCGCCTCTTATGACACGGATAGTCGCCCGTAGTCTATGAAAACGGGTTTTTTTTAAATAATTTTATTTATTCAAAAGAACCTTTCCTCTTCTCAAGGAAACTAGAATTGCTTTAGTTTGATCTCAACTTGTCTAGGCTTTTAGTATGGCGCAGGACTAGGTCGACCGCAGCATGTACCAATGCGAACATTTATTCATTCACTCCATGCATCCTGGTTTGTTATAATCTGGAGACTACATGCATATTGCCGAGAGGTTCATTTCTTATATATACAAATATGTATAATTGTTTCATTTTTTCCAATGCTCTTGTCCCATTGGAGTACATCTTCACATTAACACAATTAGTATAATCTAATTTGTTATGCATAAATCGTCTTATTTTCCATTGCTACCACGACCGACAAAAACGAAGTATTTGCCTAGCTGGACGTTCAATCAAATACGGGTTACCTTAGGCTAAAACAGGAAATGTGTCTCATACATCGACGCGGCACTTTATCAACACATTTTTATTACCGATAAAAAACTTATAGATATATTTAAGAGTTCCCGCGTCATAAAAAGCATTCTCTGTTATCCATAAAATAAAATGCCTGACAATACAAATGTATTGGAGGTTATTCAATGTGTGCCCAAATGTGTTGGTTGGTATTCTTAGTGGAGAAATATAAAACTGTTCCTTCCACACTTTTGTTTTCAAAACTTTAAAAAAAATAAAAATAGGTCATACCCTCTTTCTCACTATTAAGAAAATGTGCCCGAGAAACAGTTATTTTTATGCAGCCCAGAGACCGTCGGTATAAGGTCTCTGTGTAGCCTTATAAACATATACCGACATGAGAAATATGCGCTTAAGTAAGTAGCGAGCATGCGCTCTACCGCCCGACACTCGGCGTAGCGCCAGTCACGATGCCCGCGGCCGAAGCGAGAACATTTACCTTTGAGGCGGAAGATGGGGGTCTCACATTTGACCTATTTCACATTTCAGAGTTGACGCGAAAACAACCCTTCCGTCATGGCGATGATAAGTCCCAATGATGAAACGTGTATTTTGTGGAGACAGAAGTTAGCCATGGACGGTGGATGTCGGCGTGTTAATATTCTATGAGGGTTTCTGTTTTGCGCAATTCACGACAACACACCTGAATTAAAGTTTACAAGCCTTCTTCATTACGAGAACCAAGAAGCTAGGAATAGTCTTATGTGAAAATATATGTCGACAAAAACATACATGTAAACGCGATTGCCTCTATTTTCTTACGTTGTTGACATTCATCTATTTATAACGTGATAGCGGAAGGCGCGTCACAACAGAGCGCGGCAAGCGAGTACAACTTTTATGAGTAGTTGTTTCTTTAGTAGCATCTGTGTGTGCCGAGTGAGTGTAGACGTGATTAGATGATCTTCGCCGTAAAAACACGACAATCAGAAGCAGTTGTGTCCCTGCCGGTGACCACGCCAGCCATGGAGGGGATGAGGTAGAGATGGCGACAGTGAATGGAGACGAAGGGGGTGAGTCCCCACAACCTCATCTACCATGGGGTTTATTTTGTGAACAGCATGCGAAGGCCGCAGCTCAGGAGTTTGTGCGATCCTTCCTCTTATATCAAAGGAGTTCCAGTTTAACGGACTCTCGGGACCCCTGTGATTATTCCCGAAAATTTGTGGAATGTTTTCAACGTCAATTCGCCCTTGAAATTCGTAGATCGTCTTTTGTGTTAGATCAGAGTGCTGAAGCCAAACTGATTGTACCCGAGGAAACCCCCCCTCATGAAAATGGCTCGGCTGATTATACTGACCAGGACATACATCTCGAAGAGGCCAGCCCTTCCAAAAAAACACACAAAAGTCTACTACGCAGATTATCATTTAAAAACATTCGAAGAGGGAGATTATTTAAGCAATCTTCAGACGAGCTTGATGTATCTGACACTAATCACAGAAAACACAAGCACAAACATGAGAAATCGAAACAAGGAAAATTGACGAGCAAATCCGAGGGACAAATCGAATTGAAAAAAGAGGGGGTTGTCCATGTTCTCAGCGGCGAGGATTCTAAAGGAAAATCCAAATGGGAGCGGACACGTTTAGTACTTCTCAAAACCACAGGAGGATATTTGCTGGAATTTTATTCACCCCCTAAGGTAGGCAGCGTATTGTGATGTAACCGGCTGTGTTTACCAGCGAGACCCGCATTCCTGGGGATATCGCGGCTGTTTACCCAACCGAGGTCGAGATGTCACAAATCGGGTTAGGTTTATAACTGACATCGGTTCAAGACTGGGGTTTATTTTAAGGGCTGTTAATGTGTGCAAGCCTCCCGAATATTTGGAGGACCGCTTTTCCGTACACATCCCACATAAGTCAAGTCAATCTTGTCACTGCATGGGAGTTCTCCCGGATAGGTCGATATTGGCATTCATGGCAGCGGGGCTTCGTCATTCACAACTCTGCCATTGTCCAATAATCAAATTTACTCGAGTACAACCGACTTTGACCGTGGTCCCTGTTTACTGTGTTAATCCGAATGGGAACGATATTGTCTGGCTAAACACCACAATTGATAACACATTCCTATAGGCTGATGGGTGCGCCCCACGGGGCATAGATCAGCTGTTTTTCAGCAGGCATGTTGTCAAATATCGTGGCCTGGGCTGTTTGTCATCCCATCAAGACAAAATTATTATGTCAATTTTCAACAGCTTGAAACATTGGTTTCATTCTTCAATGCTAATGCATGTAATGGCAGGATTTGATGTGGTCCAGGGTGGTTTATGGGAGCTTTGCTACATAGTAAATGATTATACTGTTCACATTGTTATGTGAAACAATGTTGAAAATGTCACAACATTAACATTATGCAAACTATTTTTATTGTACAACAATGCTCTCTTTGGTTCAATATTTTTATCATCAACTATTAGTTATATATTTATGTACTGGTAATGCTTTGTTGCATTGTCTTTCATGGTTGTAAATATGTGCATATTTTCAAACAGGCAAAACAGTACTGTTTATTCATCTTATGCTACAATCAAGCATTATTATAAGCCGCTTTTCAGAATATGTCCGATAAGGTGATTCTGAAACATTCTGCTTAGTGATGTTAATTGAACCCAGTTATGACTTACTCTAATTGGTCTGTTTTTATTTATTTACATGCTTCTGAAACTCTTTTAGTTGGTGTTTCAGCCGCGAAGTGTTAATCACTGGTACACTGTAGTTGTTACATACTATTGACTACTTGGCTTTTTAACACTTGCCTCGAAAGGCTGCATCAAATCTTATAGTAAAAATTAAAGATTTCCTTATTCTGCAAGATTTTATTATCAATAATTAATGTTGTAGTTTTGCAAATGTTACTTGTATTTCACTATGACAGGACCAATAAAAAGGAAGGGGCTTTGAGGCTTGATTACTTCACTGAATGTGATAGAAATATCCTCTGAATATATGAAAAAAGAAAATCCCAAAATAATTCTTAACCTTATTTGCCTGCCAGGGACATTTTAAACTCCAAGATACATCTGTGACTTGTTATATTTTAGTTGTTACAGGGTTTGTATTGGGAATAATTTCGTATATTTGGGGAAGGATACCATTAAAGGGACCACATGGTCAATCACCATTTAGGAGATATTGTTAATTGGATGATTAATGTTTGTGTGCTGTATGAGTGAAACAATGCTTAATTGACAGGGCACTACATCATCAGTTTTAAAGCTATTCAGTTCAGTTTTTGGTTATTTTGGAGAGATGACATAGTGGATTATGAATCCACTCTTCTAATTAATACGGCCATATAGCCTCCCCATTTATTTAAACATCTCCTGAACAGTTTTGGTTATTTTGGAGGGATGACATAGTGGATTATGAATCCACTCTTCTAATTAATACGGCCATATAGCCTCCCCATTTATTTAAACATCTACTGAACAAAAACATTAGGGATCATGAATGTTTTGGGGGATATTATGAAATTGCGTGCTAAGTCTTTGGTGCGAAAACATATCCCTAGAAATATTCCTGACCCTGAACTTTTCTGTTCAGCCTATATGTTATTGACTGATCCCAAAAGATTGGATAATATGCTTGCTCACTCCACTCCTTAAACATTTATAAGATAACAAAGCACAGTTTGACTGAATGTCATGACTTGGGGACAGGACAAAGTAAAATATACATGGAAATGTTTCACATATTTATATTGTCTCGGTCATGTGATATTCTAGGAATTTTATTACCAATATTATACTCCTAATACTTGAGTAGTTTGTAATTTTCATTTATGTGTGAAAATGAGAAATCTTTCAGCTGTCTGACATTTGGCTGTAAATAGTCGAGTCTGGACCAGGCACCCAGTGATTGATATTATGGGATATTATCAACAACATTGGGTACAATGACATGGTGTCAACCAAGTCACTGAGCATGACCACCCCATCTGTTTAGTTGTCTTTCACCATGTTCACGACAAGCCTATGAAGTAATTTAAAAAAACAAGACAGATGGGCAGGTGACCAATAAGTGTGGCCCACTTTAAGACATTATGAATATTGAAAAATCTTTAAAAAAGAAAGACACAAATCATGTCTTGATTCAGTTGAAATAATGAAAGCAATTACTCGATAATCTACAAGGAGTTATGATAAAATTGAATATGTAAGTAGTCTTCAAATGTTCTGCCAGACAGTCAGGCAGGTGGAGGGAAGCGTCATGCAGCCTGACAAATGTTTCCAGACATGGGCAGAGAGGCAGGCAGGCAGGCACGCAGGCAGGCAGGCAGTTATTTTGGACACTGTTGAGGACCTATATTCTTATCTGGGATCCACACAATGTAGGAATATTATTCTATTGAGCTTTGTTGCAGCACTTGGAGCCAGAAAGAGTGTAGTGAATGCTGCTTTAGCAGAGATTAATCTGGGATTCCAAACATATTGCCCTTGGCATTCAAACTGGGAAAAACAGATAATTATTCTCATATTAGGAGGTAATTTAACACTGCATTCAATGCAATAGTGTTAAACTAAGCACTAAAGCCTTTTAGATCCTCTTTATTGCCTGTGCATGTTATCAGTGAAATACGAGTCACCTATACAAGGCCTTAACATTGGTTATCATTGGTTAGAACTCTATGAATTGGGAAAATTTGTAATTCCAAATAGGGAAGTTGTATTTACCTGGGGTCCATAGTCGGCCTCGGAGCAAGTCTAGACAAATCCGCGTTTGGTGCAAGGTATTTCATGTCGTCAGTCGTCAGTATTGATGCTGGAGCAGTATCATTGCAGCCTGAAGATAATGAATTCTGTACCAGATAAACCAGTGGTTGATAGCATAAGCAAGCAGTTCCTGCAGTCAGGATATGATGTTACAAACAAGATGGTTCGTACTGAAGAGCTATTCTGTCTTGTAACAGTCATGGAGAGTTATCATGGTTATTGTGTCTTGTAACAGTCATGGAGAGCTATTGTGTCTTGTGACAGTCATGGAAAGCTATTGTGTCTTGTGACAGTCATGGAGAGTTATTGTGTCTTGTGACAGTCATGGAAAGCTATTGTGTCTTGTAACAGTCATGGAAAGCTATTGTGTCTTGTGACAGTCATGGAGAGTTATTGTGTCTTGTAACAGTCATGGAGAGTTATTGTGTCTTGTAACAGTCATGGAGAGCTATTGTATCTTGTGACAGTCATGGAGAGTTATTGTGTCTTGTAACAGTCATGGAGAGCTATTGTATCTTGTGACAGTCATGGAGAGTTATTGTGTCTTGTGACAGTCATGGAGAGCTATTGTGTCTTGTGACAGTCATGGAGAGTTATTGTGTCTTGTAACAGTCATGGAGAGCTATTGTGTCTTGTAACAGTCATGGAGAGTTATTGTGTCTTGTAACAGTCATGGAGAGCTATTGTGTCTTGTAACAGTCATGGAGAGCTATTGTGTCTTGTAACAGTCATGGAGAGCTATTGTGTCTTGTAACAGTCATGGAGAGCTATTGTATCTTGTGATAGTCATGGAGAGCTATTGTGTCTTGTAACAGTCATGGAGAGCTATTGTGTCTTGTGACAGTCATGGAGAGTTATTGTGTCTTGTGACAGTCATGGAGAGTTATTGTGTCTTGTAACAGTCATGGAGAGTTATTGTGTCTTGTAACAGTCATGGAGAGTTATTGTGTCTTGTGACAGTCATGGAGAGTTATTGTGTCTTGTAACAGTCATGGAGAGCTATTGTGTCTTGTGACAGTCATGGAGAGTTATTGTGTCTTGTAACAGTCATGGAGAGCTATTGTGTCTTGTAACAGTCATGGAGAGTTATTGTGTCTTGTAACAGTCATGGAGAGCTATTGTGTCTTGTAACAGTCATGGAGAGTTATTGTGTCTTGTAACAGTCATGGAGAGCTATTGTGTCTTGTGACAGTCATGGAGAGTTATTGTGTCTTGTGACAGTCATGGAGAGTTATTGTGTCTTGTGACAGTCATGGAGAGTTATTGTGTCTTGTAACAGTCATGGAGAGCTATTCTGTCTTGTAACAGTCATGGAGAGTTATTGTGTCTTGTGACAGTCATGGAGAGCTATTGTGTCTTGTAACAGTCATGGAGAGCTATTGTGTCTTGTGACAGTCATGGAGAGTTATTGTATCTTGTGACAGTCGTGGAGAGCTATTGTGTCTTGTAACAGTCATGGAGAGCTATTGTGTCTTGTAACAGTCATGGAGAGCTATTGTGTCTTGTGACAGTCATGGAGAGTTATTGTGTCTTGTGACAGTCATGGAGAGTTATTGTGTCTTGTGACAGTCATGGAGAGCTATTGTGTCTTGTGACAGTCATGGAGAGTTATTGTGTCTTGTGACAGTCATGGAGAGTTATTGTGTCTTGTGACAGTCATGGAGAGTTATTGTGTCTTGTGACAGTCATGGAGAGCTATTGTGTCTTGTGACAGTCATGGAGAGTTATTGTGTCTTGTGACAGTCATGGAGAGCTATTGTGTCTTGTAACAGTCATGGAGAGTTATTGTGTCTTGTAACAGTCATGGAGAGCTATTTTGTCTTGTGACAGTCATGGAGAGCTGTTGTGTATGGTATACTGTTATGATTATATGTTCTATAGCAGCATATATACTTTATACAGGGTGAGAACTATGGTATACTGTT